TGATGTGGAGAAATTCTTTCAGTTGTGGCTATTGGGGTTCTGTATACTTTACCGATATGTGTATCTATTTCTTTGTATTTGGGACTTTTTCTGCCTTATTTCTGTGAAGAGGTTTTTTATGCCATTTGTGTTTTCTGAGTTTTCACTTATTCTAGTTGCTCTTAGTCTTCTTTGTGTCATCCTGCAGCTATTCCATTTTCCATATTCTCTTGTCTCTAAATAGTTGGTCTTTGACGTCTTCTAGTTCTGAAAATTTGACTTCCCATCTGTCAGTTCTGTTGCTTGTACTTTCGATATAATTTTTAATCTCCTGGACTTCTGATTGAAACCTTTTCTTAGATTAATTCTTTGGCAAGCTGATCATTTATGTTTTGTATCATTTTGTTTAGCTCAGCTAGCTTTTTATTAGTGTCTTCTGAAAGCCCCTGGGTCATTTTGGTTATTACTTTCTTTATCTGTCTAGTTATATTTTCTGTGATCCCCTTGTTTCTCTTTGATCTGTTTTCTAATTTCTTCTATTTTCCTTTTGAGTAATTCTGGTGTGTGGCATAAGCTGTTCTTCCCTTTGGTATCTCCCAGTTGGCTTGGGAGCTTTGAGGGTTTCAGAAGCATTTTGTTGCCTTGTGTTCTCATGGTTTTTGCTTGTTTTATTTTTATTTTTTGATGAGGCTTGTGGATACTCATACTATAAAGATTTTGTTGTAGAAACCTCTTTAATCACTTTTCAGTGACGTACTTTGGTCATGGCTAAGTATAGTCCTTTGCCTCAGCCCCAAGATCTTACCACCAAGGTTAATTTGGGAGGGGCCAATACAGTGTAACCAGCCTGACACTCAGTTCTTTGGACATGTATTCTATTATGCTAATGTCACAAAGGCAATCTGAGTGTTGGCTTGTAGACAAATAGCAACAATTATGCAACCCTGGCAATAGTAAGCAAATCAACTACAGTAGTATCATCCAAGACACACTGGATATCAACACACCGTAGAAACCAGCCACATGGGGAAGCTGCACTGTGTTGGGTGGGGCCGGAGTGGGGCTGTGCTGCATGTATGCACAGAGGGAGGCTGTTGCAGAGGGAGGGTGTCATGCCAAGAGAGTGGTGTGTCGCAGAGGGAAGGGAGGCTGAGTGCTGGAAGAGGGGCTTTGTTTTGGCCTGGTTCTTTCATAGCTGTTTGCTGCATTTTGGGGATGGGAGACAACATAGGGCTTTGCTGAAGGATGACAATGGGCCAAAATCGAACACCTTTTTAGGCTTTTTTTTTTTTTTTTTTTTTTTGTCTTTTTGAGAAAGGGTCTCACTATGCAGTTCAGGCTGGCCTTGGGTTCACGTAATAGCCCAGGTTGGTCTTGAATGTGCAACGATCTTCCTATCTCAGCCTCCTGAGTGCTAGGATTACAGGAGTGTGCCGGGATTACAGGAGTGTGCCAACACACCTGATTTAGACAGTTGTTTCTGAGCACCACTGACAGCACAATTCTGACAGTATTTCATGACAGTGGATAACAACAGTCTACTTTTCAACTAGAAATTCTTGCAGGACACACTGGAAGAAGTCATGATATGATATAGCCTCATGATAATACTGAGGGAAGCATGGATGATCATAAAGACACAAATGGTTCAAAGAAAGTTTCAGAGAACCAAATATCCACTTGCAAGTGTGTAAGGTAATGAAAAATGCTATACTTCAAATAAGAAAGATTGCAAAAATTACCAAAAATTATGCTCAGGAATATGTGAGTTCACAGGCTTTGTAACAGCTGAGGCCAGTGAGGGGTGCTACCAGGAGAAGTGAAAGACAATCAAAGGATAATGCATTCTCTTTGCCATGTCCACCCTAAGCTTCAGCAGCTATGAGGAACCCCTGAAGTCGTACCTTCTTCTGAAGTTTAGAGAGGCTGTGAAAGAGAGAAGGAAATTGGAGGAGTGGCCCAGTAATGGATGGACTCAGTGAGGAGCACATGGAAGAGGCCCTCACTAACCAGTTACCAACTGGTTTGACTGCAGATGGGTGACTACAAAATGTTACTGTTTATACAACATCCTATCAATGGATTTCTAGTGTTCGGAAGATTCAGTTTTCATGATCTGAAGAATGATGAGGGATAGTGTAGACAAGCAAGAGCCTGTACAATTCCAAACACAGACATTAAAGGAAAATGACTGGTGAAAAGATGTCTCTTCGTACGTGAAGTAACTGTAATACAGCTTCCTGATGCTTGACTAATGGAGCTGTTAATTCGGACTTGAGAACCTTTTTCATGAATGATTCTGAAGAAAAATGTGGCTTTTAAAGGTATTAGGATATTTGTGGTTTTGTACAAGTGTTTGTTGCTCTTACGATGCTTGCATGCCTTGAATATTGCATTATTACCATTGAGATGTTATTGACAGTTTCTTATTTTCATATGGAGTTGTATTACTTTTTTAACTCAAGTAAGCAGCTGGGTTAATTCATGGTGTTTGCCCTTTTAATAAAATATAAGGGTAGAGTTAAAAAAAAAAAAACACCCATGCACATGAACCTTTACCCTAGAGAAGAAATCCTCAACTTCATGACAACCCAGGGATTGATTTACAGTTAACATATGTCAAACATAGCCACTAGGTTGTTCCGCCAGTGGTGGAACAGAATTCAGCCACAACTTCATAGAGCCAAATAGCTACCCAAAGATTAATAAAGCTTGTGGTTATAATGTGGAGGAGGAAAGAGAAGCAGTAGAAGGAGTGCATCATGGAGCAGAAGGATATCCACAGATAGGGAAGAGAAAAAACTGATGAGAAATAAATGATAAAACAAAAAGAAAGAAAGAAATTATATGGCAGGCAAAAATAAGAGAGAAAAAAAGGGAAAAGAGAAAAATAAGGGGAAAAAAGCAAGAAAAAGAGACAAAAAGCAAGGCAGAAGGACAAAGGAAAATTCTCTAAGTTCCAATAAACTTACGAAGAAGAAAGGAGAAAAGGAAAGAAGAAAAAAGTAAAGGAAAAAAAAAAAGAAGCCAAAACAACATAAAACAAAAAGATGCCAGGAAACCAGGTACACATTTCCTGAAAATGAAACAAATTTCACTGTGATTTTGAACATGTGATTTTCTTCCAGGATCTACAGTTCTGGGGCAGTGTCCAAACAAGCTGTGTTTCTGTTCGCCCTGGTAGATAAGGGAGGCAGTGAGAATCCAGCTCCACGCTGGTGCAGGTACCAGCAGGTTGCATGATTAGGGATGAGGGAACCAGTGCCGTGACTTTCAAATTGAGAGTGACTCAAACTGAGTCTGGTCTCTGAATGTCAGTGCAGGCCTGAGTCCTCCAGCTCAAACCCCTTAGAGTGTTTTTTCCTGTGTGGCCATTGCTCCCTGACCACGGCTGTCTCTGGTGACTCTTTTAGTCACTGAGAATGTCACACTGGGAGCCCTAAAGAAGGTGTCCCATTACCACTCTGAACTGTAGGTTCAGAGAGTCAACCCTTCCCTGGAGTGGTGACCAACCAAGCACTTTCTCCAGAGATATGGTGGGAACTTGTGTTGGGCTCGCTTATCAGCTGTTGCCTGTCAAAGGGCTCACATGGGAGCAGAGTCCCATGCTCTACCTGCAGCTTCCAACCCCCACCAGTGTGTTTCACCACCGCATCTCTTCCTGAAGCCTTCTGGAGTCCCGGATTTCATTTTGTCTCTGTAGATTTGGTCTCTCTCCTGCCAGAACTGTGCGCTGGAAGCTGGGGAGAAAGCGAGATGGTCCCTTCTCATCTCCACATTGTGTTCTGTCTCCTCAGTTCCTCTGTGTGCTTCAATTTTCCTGTCAGAGCCTTCCTGATTCCCAGGAATTGACTCTCTTTTTCTTCCCCAAGTTATTATTTTCCAGTGTCTGGATTCCAAATCTTGGAGAGGCCGAGTTGTTGTTGCCAGCCACTGCACCATTTTCCTGCCTTTCCGTTCTTGTTGATTTTAACGAGAAAAAAGAAAAAACAAAAAAATCAAGAAGCAAATAAACCTGCAAAACAACAACAACAACAACAATAGCTGCTATAGGTTTTGGAAACAAGATGATAGAAATTTAACATTGGTTGTTATACTACATATTGTTATCTTCAAAATAGTTGCTCAGGTTACCAGATAAGGAATAAATAAAATAGTACATCAGAACAAAACATGGGATTTCAAAAACAAGACAAGGGAATCCCCCAGAGTTGCCACAATGCACACGGCCACCTTCCAAATAGATGCCCAGACCTGCAAAGTGGGTCAAACAATACAAGTGTCAAGCTATTCCTTTCACCTCAGTTGCTGTCATCTCTGCTTGAGTCTCATGAATCAGCCGTTGTTTATGGGCTCTTCTGATTTCCCAGCCCACGTTTTGGCTGGCTGCTAGCTGATGGGAAGGTGTGGTTCATCTTCTTGCTGAGTCTCTTCCTGTTCCCCAGGTGGACCCTGGTTCACAGGAAGACCAAACCTCTGGTTTTTGTTTGTAAGGAGTCTCAGTCTCCCCTACCCTCTCTCTTTGAACCAGAGTCTTGCCATGTAATTCAGACCAGCCTTGAATTCACTATGTAGCCCAGGCTGCTCTCAAACTTGCAATGATCTTTCTGCCTCAGCTTCCCAAGTCCTGGGATTACATGCATTTGCCACCATGCCTAGCAGGAACCTCTCCTTTCATCTCTTGGTTCCTATTCTATGCTTTCTTCATACTCCCCAGACTTAGTGATTTCCTACATGTTTAGTAATCTCAGAAAGGAGATGATCTTTTCCTGTGGTTCTAGTGCACAGTTCAGGTTAATAACTTGGTCTATGTTCTTAACCCAGCTTTCTTGATGCCTCATTTGGGGCTGCTGTGAGGATTGGCAGCAACAGGGCATGGGAAGTGTGAAGGCCTGGCATCTGCCAGTTGTCATGCTGGGCTCATCACTAACTCCAGAGGGGCCGGGTGCTCAGGGTCTCCACTAGGGGCCCACTCTTTTGAGACCTTTGCTTCCATGGATCCTCTTATCTTGTTTCCACAGGGGATCAAGCTTGAAGAGCAGAGGCCAGGACCCCAGAAGAACAAGGTGGGCTGGGTGGCTGAGGTGTGACCAGGTGGACCTGGGGAGGGTACCTGGATGGGAGGAGTTGGGGAAGAAGCAGTGAACATGCTGGGCTCATCTGCCTCATCTGCCTCATCTGCCTAACTTCAGCCCAAGGACTGTGCCCTCATTAGACTTGTGCCTGGTGGATGGCAAGTGGGCCCTGGCTCAGCACCTTTGAGTAGCTTCAGAGTAGACTGGGGTGGAGGTCTTTGGGGAGACCCAAGGATGGTGACTTGGCCGGCTCCTCCCCACTCCGTTCTGTACCTGCACCTGCTGGGCTCAGGGCTGCCAGATGCCATCAGTGCTCACCTCCAAGTTCCATTTCCAGGGCCCCAGAGTGTAGCTTATCACTTGGAGGGTAGCTCAGTTACTTGGAGAGGGCTGCTGAGTGAGACTACAGCTTCCTGTTTAGCACCCTAGTGCACAGGCTGGTCTCACCATGGGGAGACAAGGTCAGGACCCTCATAGGTTGCGTCTCCTGGGTTTGCAGTCAAGTTCTGTCAGTTTGGAGAGGAGCTCAGTATAGCTCACATGTCAGAGCCTGGAACAATTCTAGGCTGTTCTTCAAGCTCGTATGCCTCCCCCAAAGTCTTTGTACAGGCTTATACAGGTCCCCAAACACATTCCTCCCCAGATCCAGAAGAGGGACTTGGAGATAGTAATCTGGCTTTATGGGACCCCTGAGGTTAATGGTGGTGCTGTCTGCTTTGTCTTACAGGATGACTATATTCCGTACCCGAGCATTGATGAGGTAGGAGCCCTCTGCTGCACTGCAGCCTGATCTGTGTCCCATCCCTGGGGAGATGATGGTTTTTCCTCAGATCTGCATGGAGGAGAATCTTGGGCATGGGACTCAGGCCTGAGGCCTCTTTCCATCTTGGCTTTCGTGACCTGAGATTGTCTATGTTTGAATTGGCGGTGCCCATCCAGGCCTTGCAGCCCTGGGCCCCAGGGTCAGCCAGTGAAGCTGGAGGTTCGGGGAGGAGGGTTCAAATTAGAAATTCGCATCACCACCTTTGATCTCAGATACCAGGCTCCTCTCCTAGGAGCAAAGTAGGGGTGGATACACCACTAGTTCCCTCTATTTCCTATGGTCCCAAGGCAGCTGCAACATAAGACCCCTCCTATACTTCCAGGTTGTGGAGAAGGGGGGCCCATACCCTCTGATCATCCTTCCCCAGTTTGGTGGCTACTGGATTGAGGACCCAGAGAACGTGGGCACACCGACCTCACTGGGCAGCAGCATCTGTGAGGAGGAGGAAGAGGACGGGCTCAGCCCCAACACATTTGGCTACAAGCTTGAGTGCAAGGGTGAGGCCAGAGCCTACCGCAGACACTTCCTGGGGAAGGTGAGGCCCAGGGCCCTAGGGAGAAAAGAGCCACTGGAGGGGAAGTGTCCCAGGGGATCTTGTCCATGGTGCCCCCTCTGTTATTTCTGCCTTCTCAGGGCTGTCCACTTCCTTGCTGCCTGCCCCTCTTACTTGGAGAAGTTGGACTGGCAGTGTACTGGGGCTGGGCAGAGGCAGTATAGAGCCCCTGAGAAGGGCCCTTGTGGGGACCTCTCCAGCAGGTGCTGTGGAAGATGACAGGAGGGGAGCGTTTGGCAGTGAAGGAGGTTGGAGTGAACTTTTAACTGTTAAAGAAAAATATATCCTTATACTTTGGAAACCTCTATTTCAATCTGTATATTGGCTAACCGTGTCTCGTGATCTCACCAGATAGATCACCTGAGTAGCACATGGACTGGAGCCTCTGATTGCTTCAAAGAGACAAGTTTACATTTCTTTAAATATGAGGTGTGGTCAAAATGCCCGCTGAATTCTAAAATAATTCATTATTTTTTTTTTTTTTAAGGACAGGTTCTCACTATGTAGCCCAAACTGGCCTCAAACTCACAGTGACTTTCCTGCCTCTGCCTCTGGAGTGCTGGAACTACAGGTGTGCACCACCATGCCTGGCTCACATTGCCATTAATACTTCTCAAAATACTTTCCTTCTCTTTGAGCACAGTAATTCCATTGTCCTCACAACTTTCTAAAGCAGTTCTGGAAGTTCTTTTTCTTGAATATGTGCACAAGGTGTGATCTAAAATACAGCGCATGCTGCTATCTTGTGCCATCTGATGGAAAGACAGATTTGTAAAAATAGACCATGAGTCCTCATCCATCTTATTCACCAGGTGTGGCACCATGCAACTTCGGGCTCTTCCCCAAACTCAAAATGACTGTGAAAGTGAAAATTGTGAATTGACTCAGGACATGGAGGCAGCCCGAAGAGCACAACTAAAGGCACTTACACAAGACGAGTTCCAGAACTACTTCAGGAAGTGGAAAAATGATAGGAAGAGTATATTCGTAGGGAGAGGGAGTATCCTGAGAGGGATGAATGGCAATGTGTCTTTTATTGTAAAACACACAAATGACAAAAAAAACTACATTCACTGTGTTTTTGATCACGCCTCTTATGATCTCTTCTTCAGAATTGCTAGGATCCCCCCAGGTCTTCAGGGCAGATTCTGAAAACTTTTAGCCTAAGTCAGCTTTGTGCTTTTTATAGTCTCGTATCATGGAGGCTGCAACCCAAACCACTGAACTACATGGAATCTAACATGCGGATTCCAGGGCCCCACTCTGATTCCACGTAGTCTTGGTTAGGATTAGAGAAGATAATGGATTAAGCCCACAGCACAGTACCTGACATGTCTTGACATTGTCATCATCATCATCATCATCATCATCATCATCATCATCATCATCATCAAATAGCTGCTGCAGCAGTAACATCCTTTGCCCCTCATTTCTGTGGGGCTTCTCCCTCTTGGTTAAGTGGTGCTTTGGGGGAACATTCCTTGAGGCTCAATTCATATCTGATTTCTATTTCTAGGATCATCTAAATTTTTACTGTACTGGCAGCAGCCTGGGAAACTTGATCCTGTCCATCAAGTGCGAGGAAGTGGAGGGGATTGAGTACCTGCGGATCATTCTCAGGTGGGACTGCTGCACTGGTCCAAGCCATGCCGTTTCCAGGTGGGACTTCATGGGGAGGGCCAGAAATGCCCTGTCTGACTGGTCTGGTCTGGCTGAGTTGGAGGGGCCAGCCTGCTGGAATCCTGGAGCTGCAGGTAAAGTTGCCAGGCTTGAAAACCCACGTGTGATTCTCAGTGTCACCTAGAACAGACCCCTACCTGCCTCTTTTTGTTATGAGGGACTGTGATGGAAAGGTAGAACGGGGGTGGCTCAAGCTGAGACAACAGGTCCATGTTCTGGGGAGGGTTCCTGTGGTGAGCCCCAAGGTGTTCATTGTGCATTACGGGTTCCTGAAGTGGGAGCATTGTTCACCACAGAAGCCCTTGTTTGAGGCAGAAGCCAGGACATTGCACTCTGGAGTATGAGCTCTTTAAGGTCAGAAACTGGTACTGATTCTCTTTGGTTCAGTTAACACACTCTGTAAAACTTCCTTGGTTTCAGGAATTGGGGGTCCGGAGGTACAGTAATGATCAAGGTCCAGTTCCTGTTCCCTAAAGGCTTATAGTACAGTTAGCAAGAGAGACAAACAGAATTGTAATATTCATCACGAACATTACTGGTTTTCTGATCAGGGTGCTATGGAATCCCAAAGGAGTCTATTCCTGTCCCTGCCGAGGGGTGTTGGGGGCAAGAAGGCAGGAAAGCTAAGGGCTGGCTGGTCCTGCTGTCAACCTGTCAAGATCCCAGTCCATATTTGTGGAAATTAATAACTGTGGGAAGGAATAAGAATGTGTAACCTTGCTTTGTGAGTAGTAGGAGGAGTAGGAGGAGGAGTGTGGTTTGAACAGCCCCTCAGCCACATCCTGCTGTGGTTGGCTGCTTACCTAGAAGGAAGCAGCTGTCTTTAGAGAGGTTCACCCAGGTGGACAGCATTTGCGAGGCATGGAAGAGTCAAGTAAATAACTAGAGACAGTTGTCTGAGGAGTTAATGCCCGAATCTTGTCTCTGAATAGGAGTTCTGGTTAGATGACCCTTGTGCAGAGAATCGCTTCCTTTCTTAATAAAAATGAGACCAAGATTGCATGGGAGCACCAGGGTGACAGGTGAATGCAGGGGTCTGTGCTCCTTCCCTAATGCTGTTCTACTAAAATGCTGCCTGAAGATTGAAAGCGAGAGAAAATGACACACACACTTTGGTGGCTTTTTAAACATGTACTCTATGAAACAGTTAGGACCCAAATGCAGGTGAAACTGTGCTGAACTTCAGTTCCTTTCCCTTAGAAATTAGAGTAATGGGAAGTGGGAAATTGGAGGTTCCAGAAGGATCTCACACACTTTAGGAGTGAGAGGGAGCCCTGCACGGTCAGATCTTTTCATATAGAATTGCTTTTGTTGTTTTGAGTCAACAGCCTTGAAATAAGCATCTTGGGGACCCCAAAGGCAGGTTAAAATGTGGCTCTGCTTCGAAGAAAGCCAGTGGGTAGGGGGCAGAGAGAGGCGGGCCATATACCAGCTAGGAAGCTGGCTAGTCACATCGTGTGCTTGAAATGATTGCCAGGCCTGATTGGAAACCAGACATCACAGATAGCTCTTCGGCTTAGCAACTTTGCCAAAAACAAAGAAGAACTCATCTAGAGAAGAAACTCACTTGTTGGCATAACTGTTGTCCCAGTTTCTTCCTACAGACTTCTGGGTTATTTGCTTGATGTCCCTAAGGTGTAACAACCAGATCTCCAGCCTAAAATCTGAGAAGAGCATTATAATCTTTGTGTGTGCCATGAGAGTTGCCAGACAGAATCTATGCACTGTGTGGATACATTTCTTCATGTATTTAAGTACCACTTGTATTGATTTGTTGTGAACTGTCTGTTGATAAGCTTTGCTCCTTTTTTAAATTAGGTTGTTATTTGAAATTTCTGTTTTAAAAAAATCTCATAGGTAACAAGTAGATTTAATAACTTGTTTTTGATCTTTTTGAGACAGGGTCTTGTTATGCAGTTCAGGCTGGCCTTGAGCTCACTTTGTAGCCCAGACAGGTCTCAAACTTGCAATGATCTTTCTACCTCAGCCTCCTGCGTGCTGAGACTACAGGTGTACAGCACCATGCCTGGATGCTTTAGGAATATTCCTATTCCTTTTGTTAGATCTACCATCTTGTGGATGTGGATCGTCATAGGCTGGGGAGAGCAATACAAAACATTGTTGGGGAGGGGAAACGGAAACAAGTTCAAAACAGGCTGAGTGTGGAACGAGCATTGGAGCTGTGTGCAGGTCTGTAGTAGAGTTGTGATCAGATCTGCAGGATAGCAGATAGAATGAGGAAAATGGCTTAGAGGTGCTGTGATGAGCAGGGGCCGATCCAGGCCACCAGAAGCTAAATGCTTTAGTGAATGGCACCTCCAGAGCTGTGCAGATCAGGAGAGTGGAACCAGAGTGGCTCTTGCTGAGAATAGAGAACAGTGGGTGGAATATTCCAAACACCTGGGGAATACTGACTTAAGAAAGACAGCCCAAATGTCAGCAAATGAGTTAGATTAACTGCTGATGATATTATGCTTTCAAAATGACTTAAATATACTTCAAATCCTAAGGAGACTCAGAATGAGCAGCATTTAAGAAATGGGAGATAGATTGTAATACTGAGATGTGAATCAAAACCACATGAATATTTAAGGCAAACAATTAGAATTATTAGAAATAAAAAATAGTGGTTGAAGTGACACGTAGGGTAAAGTCTAGTCTGTGCAAAGAGTGAATTTGTAAATCAGAAGACAGTCCCAAGGAATTCATCCGGAACACACACAGATAAAGAGATTAAGTGTATGAAAAGGAAGATAAGATACATGGATAATAGACTGGGAAGTCTCAGCATTTGTCTTAGAGTTCCAGAAGAGGAGGAGAGAGAGATTAGAGAACAAATACCCAGAGGAAATAGCTGAGAATAATTTAGAAATGAGTAAGGTACACAACTTGCTGTTGAACCCAATTTCAAAACAAAACACTACTTCTAGACAGGTCGTAGTGGAGCATCAAAACTCAAAATTTAAAAGCATAGTAAGCTACTCCAGGAAAAGGACCGACCAGCTCTGAGACAGTGACAAGCCTGAGAGCACACGCACCCATGTTGTAATAGGGTAGGAGTCAGTGGGACAGCGGGGTCTTTAAACTTTGAAAGCAGGCAAAAAAGAAAGAAAGGAAAGAAGAAGAAGAAAGAAGGAGAAGGAGAAGGAGAAGAAAACACTCCTAAGATTTGTTACCTGGGAAAACTATCAGCAAAGACCCTGTTTTCAAACATAAAGAGAATGTGCCACCCTTTCACTTTCCCTGGAAGAACTATAAAGGGAAAAAAGAGAATCCACAGGAAAAGATGGGGTTAAAGAGTGGCAAGAGAGAGATAAATACAATAATACATAGATAGATGAAATACAGTAATATATAGTGACTAGAAAAATAAGTAACTTTTGGCATGTTTTAAAGAAGGCCTGAAATAAAATTATAAACAAAAGTAGCAAGGACAGTAGAAGGGAAGAATTCAGTAAGTAAACAATACTTAATTGTTTTATCTTCCCACCCCAGGACAGAGAGAACGATTTTAAGGTTTGTTGAAAAAAATATATATACGTATATTGGAAGATTCAGAAATATAATCTGTAGCTCCCAAACTAGGAGAGAGATAAAAAGAGAATAATAAAACAAAACCAGAAATACCTAAAAAAGTTAGATGGATATGGTGGGGCACGCCTATAATCCTAGTACGTGGAAGGCAGAGGCAGGAGGATCACCATGAGTTTGAGGCCAGCCTGGGCTACTTAGTGAGTTCAAGGCCTCCCTGAACTATAGAGCAAGACCCTCTTCAAAAAACAAACACACAGATAATCCCAAAACCCCACAACTTTATTCAGCTGAAGGCAGGAAAGGGGATGGGGAGGGAAAAAAGGGGGAAAAACGCACAGAGAATATAAAATGTAAAATATAAAATGATAGATTAGAAATAATTTCAAGCATGTTAGTAGTTGCAATAGTTATAGATTAGCCTACTAAAAGTCAAACTATCAAATTAAATTAAAAGTGCACCTATATTCTGCTTATGAGATCCATGCTGAAGGCAAAATTAAACAAAGTAGGAGTCTAGGAAAAAAAGCTTTTGGGATAAAGGAAGCACTCCCTCCTAACTTGGGAAGGTGCTATGTAGCCACATTCTGTCCTCCTGTTTCTCATGGACCTTTCTCCTGGCTCGCCCCCGCAGGCATAGTCTTGCACCTGCCTAAGACTTTCACTGCCTGTGACTGGGTGGGTAACATTTCAAATTCTGGAGTTTAGTGAGGAAGACTTATTTCATATTTGTAATAACTGATGTGTTCTCATGTAGTCTTTATCAGTAATGAAGGGTCGTTTTGACTCCCGCTGCCTTAGTCTTTGTTATGGTTTAGTTTGGATCTTGCTAGAGAAAGATGTCTTTTGTTGAGCCCTCTCAAAAGCCTCAGCCTCGATGATAGAGAGGACAGTCCACCGAGGCCTGACAGTCACAGACAGGCATGTAGAAACACAACCTTAAATTTGAAAAGCAAAAACTGACATAGATAGAGGGAGAAGCTACTGGGCATGGTGGTACACACCTGTCATCCCAGCTACAGTCCTAGCCGGTGTGAGGCAGGAGGATTACGAGATAGCCCGGGCAGTTCAGCGAGACTCTGTCTCAAAATGAAACACAGAAAAGACCCAGGGGTGAGGTCCAGTGATGGAATACTTGCCTAGCATTTGTGGTGCTCTGGGTTTAATATTCAGAACAGCAGCAGCAGCGGCAGCAGTGGTGGGGTGGGGGAGTAGACCAATCTCCTGATACAGTAGAAAATTTTAACGTCTTTCAGAAAATAATGGGTCAGGCAGTCTAAAAATTGCAAGGATAGAGAAGATTTGAACAGTACAACAAATAAATTTGATCTTGTAATATATTCCTACTCTCAGCAAAAAAAAAAAAAGCCCACATATGCAATATTAAAAGTAAGTAAATAAAAGGTCCATGCATTAAGTCAACAAATTTCAAATAGTATCATATAGATTATAAGCCAACTAACTTACAAGTCTACAATTGTAGTATTGAAGGAAACAAATTTCATATTAAAGCTTCATATTAGAATTTAAGAGCCCTTTCTAAACAACTCAGGCTAAAGAGAAGACCACAAAAGAACTGACAAAATATTTAGAACTAAATGACAGTAAAAACATTACCCATCAAAGTGTGTGGGATGCAGGAAAAGTGGTACTTACAGAGAGATGCATGGTTCTAAATACATTTGTAAAAAAGAAGAAAGATTAAATGCATGTGCATGCAAGCTGGGAAGACAGAAAAAGAGCAGAAGAAAGAAACCTGAAGGAAGTGAAAGGAAATTTATAAAAAAAATGAAAAAAGCAAGTGAAAGTAAAAATAAAGAGTAGAAGAGTAGAGATGATCAGCAAAACCACAAGCTATCTCTTTGAAACAGCTAATAAAATAACCAAACCTCTAGCTAAGAAGTAATTAGGGAAACTGAAAAGATGAGAGTAGTTTTTTTTTACTACTTCGTTTATTTAAACAATAAAAATGATACAGAATTTCAAAGCAAAACAGTAAGTAATAAGCACTAGTTAATATATTACATATTGTTATTTTCAAAGTAGTTGTTCAGATTACAAGATTTAGGCATAATAAATGATCAAACAATGAATACAAACTGTTCTTTTGGTGACCTAACAGATTATTAGTATAGTTATCTATCTTGCATATATTTACATACACATGCATATATAGTCTTTTCCCTTTCTTTTAGGAAAACTGAAAAGGCACAAATAGTTTTAAGCAGTAAAGGAGAGGACACACTACGAACGAATCCAGAGAGAAAACCAAAACCAACTTCGATTGAATGCATTTGATATCATTTTTATCGAAAAACAAATGAACAAAAGTGATTCAATAAGTAGGAAACTTAAACATTCACCACTAAAGAACTGTAAAGTTTCTTCCTATTAAAACATAAAACAAAAAACCAGCGGACTGGGAGCAGGCATCCATGCTGGTAAATCACAGCTGCTGAAGGGGCGGAGGCAAGAGGATCACAAGTTCAAGGCAAGCCTGGAGTTTAGGGAGACCCCGCCCCAAAGTGCAAAACAGTTGTGGTAGTTCAATGGGAAGAACAGGATTCAGGGCCAGTACTAACTGTCAAACAAACCAAGACAGAAAATAAACGACAGCCCCAGAGATGTCAGAGATGAGGTTTAGTAAATGTTTAAGGAATAGAAAATCCCTGTGTCGTGTAAACTATTTTAGAGGACAGGAAGCTATCCCACAATTTTGTATGGCTGGAATGACACCATACTATCAAAAACTGGCATGAGAAGTACAAGGCAAAAAAAAAAAAAAAAAAAACCCAACCAGTAGGCCAGTGTTTCTTTTAGACATAGATGTGAAACTATAAATGAACTATTAGTTTTCCAGCAGAACATTAAAAATAACATAAACAAGTGGGGTTTTACCCATAGAATGAAAAGATGGCTCAACAGAAATGGAACTTACCAGGTTAACAGATTTAAAACCGTATGATTATCTCAGCAGACACAGAAAAGCATTCATGAAAATTCAACGTTTTCATAATGTGCTAAGTAAATCAGGGGAACAGGCTAAATTTAGGTGAAAATCTTTATAAAGCAGACTTGATCCCATTTATATTTTGAGTAAATCCTGATTTTCAAATATTAGATTTATCTTTTCGTAACAGTTCATTTACATGTCCAAATCCATATATATAGATATATAAGTATATATGAGGTAGGCCCAGTTTTCAGGAAGAATATAACAGAATTCACAAACAATAAAAAAATAATAGTGACCTTGAAGGTGGCTCCCTGTACTTCGCAGATTTCAGAGGCAGATGACTCTTCCAGGCCTCTACTTTAAATATCCACCCACTCTGGGGTACCCAGGGGATTCTGTTTTGTGTGATTGAGTGTGGTGCTTCACACACGAGCTTGGTGAATACAGGCCGATCTGCTCCTGGGGAGACTTGAAGCAGGACAACCCTGTGTGGCGTGACCTCAGCCTGCGTCCTCACTGACTTTGTTTCTTACGGATCGCTTCGTCTCACCCTTGTCCACACTTAGGTCCAAACTGAAAACAGTGCATGAGCGGATCCCCTTGGCTGGACTGAGCAAGCTGCCCAGCGTCCCTCAGATCGCCAAGGTAAACTTGCACCCCTGAGAGAAGGTGGCCTCTTTGGTCACCTGAGCTGGTCTCTGGGCTGGGGTGCAGGCCCTGCCCTTGGAGAAGGCCATTGTTTTCTATCACTGTTGACCTCGTGGGTGAGACTGGGGGCTGTTGGCAGCCGTTTCTGCTTTCCCTTCCCCTCCTCACCTCATCCTTGCTGCCTGGTTGCAGTCCCAGATAGTTCACAGCTAGTTTTGGACAAAAGAGAAGCTGGAAGCTGGGCTGGCCATGCTGAATGCCGAAGGATTTCAGAGGAAGGGTGGAAGGAGTGGCCAGGGGAGCTTTCACAGCTGAGGACAGGGTGAGGGATGATCCAGACCCAGCAATGCTTCGAGTAAGGAGTTGTCCTGGGCCTTTTGGGCAGAAGGGCCCATGTCTCTGCTTTGAGAACAAAGAACTTGGGAACCGAATCAGCAAAGAGAGGTGGTCAGCTGAGTTGAGTTGGATCTCTGGATTGAGCATACTAACAGAATTTGTGCAGACACCTTTGGTGGGAGTTGGGAGGGCGTGACCTTTGGGTATTGTTTATGATCAGAATGGAGATAAGCCTCAGGCCCCTACCCTCACTTTATCAGGGAGCTCTAGGAAGATTAGTTAACTAGTATGGGCGCACATTAGAATTCAGTCCCGGAGTCCTGTCTTACCCTGATGGGCACAGGAATCCGATGTGTTCCACAGGTTTGGCCCCTGAACTGTGTGTTTCTCTCCCACTTAGGCCTTCTGTGATGATGCTGTGGGGCTGAAATTCAACCCTGTACTCTACCCTAAGGTGAGAACCTTCTTGTTGCTTTGCCTTTTATCCACAGCTCTGCAGCTTGGCATGGATTTGTACTCCCATGGCTTGCTCTATGGGGAGTTCTGTCTATTCTAGTGGGGTTTCCTGGGCTCTCTCTGCCCTTCCTTCACAAAATGGTCCACTGAGAATCCATCCTCAGCGTGCCTGGGTCTCCACCTTACCTGAGTAGGTCTCCAGCTTGCTGTGAGGGTAGCAGAGGGCAGCAGCTTGATAGCTTTTTTTACCTCACCAAAACTGAACTTCCCTGAGGCCTGTGCTGGGGCGGAGCACCATTCTCCCTGCCCCTGGGAGTTGGTGCAGGTCCACTCTGCCATCATGGAGGGATGGGACACTGAGGGTGGACACAGACTAAAAACTAAAAGACTGGATTTCTGCTCTCCTTTGCCCATGTTACCTCAGCTATGGGGCCTTAAAAACCCTGGCTGGCCTTAGTTAATAAACCAGCTGGTTCTCTGCTAAGATTTTCTTAGCATTGGCCTGATCTTGACTCCAATTCTGATGTAGAGGTGTGAGTTGCAAGAAGCACAATAGTAGTGAAACAGAACAACAAACACCCTCAAGAACGATCATGACATGACGGCACTTAAATTTCCTGGGACGGAAAATCACTTGAAATTGTCCATAGGAAAAGATCTGTGAACTGAGTGCTGCTTCCTGAGCCAGCAGCGGCCAGAGGGAGAAGACCGGAGTGGGGCTTTGCCTCTGGGAGCCCGCTGTGGCCAGTGCTGTGGCAGTGGAGACTTGCTGGGGCTGGCTGTGTCCCTCCCCCAAGTTCAGCTCTAACGTGGCTCTGGCAGGAGCCATGTGGCATGAGTCTGGCAGGGAAGGGAGACCCCCATCCTGGTAAAACATCCAGAGGCCTTGGAATAAATGCCTTAAATGTCCATGACTGGACACTCAAAAGCATCTCTCTGTCCCTCCACTAAGTAGCAGAGGCATCTCCTGAAAAATCCTTCCCCCAGATGCTGTGTTTTAGCCATTTTAGTGCTGGAGACACTACCAATGATATGCTGCACATCACTGAGTATTTCTTATCACTCAGACTGACCTCTTTTTATAATTAAAGCTGAATTACTGAAGTTGAACCGCACATTAAAATCCCAGCATAAAGACCTAACTGAACTACACGTTTGGTGTTTTTTTGTTGTTGCCGTCAGATCCTGTTTACTGTGAGAACCATCTACGTGGTTCTGTCACTTGGAAAACCTTCAGCCCTGTTAGTAATGGAAGAGCAACTGTATGTTCATGTTTTCTCTATCTGAAAACATCTATAACTGTTGAAGGCCATTTGGGATGTTAATCTGGCTGAGGGGTGTGTGTGTGTGTGTGTGTGTGTGTGTGTGTGTGTGTGTGTGTGTTTTAGAAATTTGCAGAGTTTAGGATGTTACTTGGATGGTCTCCATGGCCCGGTCCCTCTTCCTGGCAGGGCAGCTGATCTTCCCCTTGGACTCATCCCAGGCAGGAGTGAAGGGCTCCTGCTGGGGATGCTGAGAGGTGTCCATTCCCACAGGCAGCTGAGGACAGAACTATTGCAGTGAGTAGTGAGCTAACCTGGGCCTCATATTCTAGCCAACAAGTTACGCCTGGTTTGTTCTTTGCCAGCATAACACGTGGTTAGGTCCCTCCTTCTTATTGCAGAAGGATCCTAGCAGCACCTAAAGCTGGTCAGCTCTGACTTTCTGGAGGTTCAGACATGATGACGATCATGATGATGATGATGATGATGATGATGATGGCAATGATGATGGTAGTTGTTCTGTGCTTGGTACTTTACATGACTGATCTCATTGGGTTTTCAACACACATAGAATTCAGAGCTAGAATTTACTTATTTTTTTTCTACCCCATACATCAACTTTGAGGCAGAAGTGGAAAATTAGATACAAACAACGGTCAGGTTTCTTATCTCTCTTTGCTTATCTTATCTTAGGTAGGTGTGCCCCTCTTTAGAGACTGGTTTGTTTTGTGGATAAAGGCATTAAGTCTGGATGGGAGCAGTGACCTACTCACATTTACACTTCTGAGAAGAGTTAGACCCAGAGCAGAGCTAGACTTGCTGGCTGGTTTTGGGGCCCTGGCTTTGCCTTTTACATGATAGATAAAATACTGGGGTAAAGGTAGTTCCCGAGTCCTGCCGGACTCTGTGTGTGCTCAAGCTGTGGCTGGAACATTTGGATGGGAACAGAATGGATGACGCCAGGATGTGGTTACTGTTGGAGGAAGCGCCAGTGTTGCCAGCTAGCTAACCTTTGGGTTGTGTCCGGTCTCTTTCTTTCCCTCGTATGTGTAGAAGTCTCTAATGGGGAACATACTCTGTGTCCGAGTGGGTGCTTCCTTTTCCATTTGCTTGTCTACTTGCCTCCAGATGAATAGCAATCTTGATTGTTTCTCTCCCTTATATTTTCTAGGCCTCCCAAATGATTGTGTCCTATGATGAGCATGACGTCAACAACACATTCAAATTTGGGGTCATCTATCAGAAAGCCAGGCAGGTAAGCACCATGGGTCCATATTGGTCACTGGCTCCTGTGGTTTCTCCCTGAGGACTCCTTATCCTTCTGTCCTAAGTGCAGGAGTCTGAATGTATTCTTAAAACAATCTAAATACTGCTGTTGCATGGAAACATGCATTGGACTGGGGTGGTTTGATCTTCAGGAAAGGCTACTTCTTACAGAAGAGGCTGCAAATCCTTTAAATTGTGGTGTAGTTTTTAAACTGTAAAGTCTGATTATTCCTGGTTATCCTAGTGAAATCTAGTTCTTCCTGGTTGTCTCATTTTATATTTATCTAAATAAGTCAGTAGAAAAATCAAATGAAGTCGAGGGATCAGATTAGGATAGGCTACTTTTTAATTCTCTCATTCTCCAGACAGGAGTCACCTTCTTCTCCCCAAACTTGAGCAAGGTGCTGGAGCCAGCTGGGTGCATCTCCCTAACTCGGCATTCACTGACATCATGGTAGTGGCTTGAAATCAGCATAGATGTATTTATCCTCTGAAAATTGGCCAACTCCAGCTTCTGTTTCCTGCCTTATAGAGCCAGTTGTTAGAGCCATTTGTTAAAGAATTTACCAGCACATCATAGCTTCCCTCCTCTATCTCTTGTAGTACTCTTAAGAATTAAGCCTTGGAGTTAGCCAGCCAAAATAATGTGTGTAGGAAAGAAAGAAGCCACATTATCATTATGTGTAGATGACACAATCCTTTATATGGAAGACCCAGAAGACTCTACCAAAAGATTCGTAGAATCAGGAACAAATTCAGCAAAATAGCAATAAAATCAAAACCTCACAAAAATCAATAGCATTCCTGTATACCAATAATGAACTCACAGAGAAAGAAATTAGGAAAACGGTACTATCCACAGTAGCATCAAGAAAAATGAAGTACATAGGAATTGACCTAACCAAGGAGTGAAAGACATCTATAACAAAACTACAGAACTCTGAAAAAAAAAAAACAGATCAAAGAGAGGACATTAGAAAATGAAAATCTCTCCCCTATGCCTGAATAGGCAGAACCAAAATTAAGATGGCCAAACGACCAAAACTGAGATGTAGTTTAATGCAATCCCAATGAAAATAACAGCAATACTCATAGAACTAGAAAAACTGTGCTAAAATTTATATGAAATCAGAAGGGATGCAGAACAGCAAAAGCAACCGTGGGCAACAAAAACAGAGCAGGAAGCAGGGTCACAATCCCAGATTTCCAGTTGTACTGCAGAGTGACAGTGATTGAAAACAGCATGTTACTGGCACAGAAACAGACCCGGATCAGTGGATCTGGATAGAAGATGGAGAAACAGCCCTCAGCACGTGAAGTCATCTAGAGTTGACAAAAGAGGCAAAAGCATATGCTGCAGTAAAGATAGTCTCTTTAGCAGATAGTGCTGGGGAAGCTGGTGACACACATGCAGAAGATTGGATCCATATCCATCTCTATCACTATGTACCAAAATAAAATGGGTTAAAGACATAAATATTAAAACAGAAACAATTTTCTGGGAAATAGGTAAAACTCCTGAAGGCATAGGCACAGGAAAGAACTTTTTAAATAGAACTCCAGTTGCACAAGAAATAGCATTAAGAATCAGCAAACGGAATTAAATGAAAAAGCTTCTGCATAGCAAAGGAAACAGTCAATAGAAGGAAGAGACAATTTACACAATGACAAAAATTTTTACTAGCTATTCTTGTAACAGAGGACTAATACCTAGAATATACAAAGAATTCAAAAGAATCAGACCACATAAAATTAAAGACCCATTCAAAAAATGGGCAACTGAAATGAATAAACACTTCTTAGAAGTACAGGTGACCCATAAATGCATGAAAAATGCTCAACATCTCTAGCCAGCAGAGAAATGGGACATCTTACTCCAGGAAGAATGGTTGCCATAAAAAAGTCAGGCAATCACAAATGCTGATTAGTCTTCTGCGTTGGTGGGAATGTAAACTTGTACAACCACTGTGGAAATCAGTATGGAGATTCCTCAAAAAAAAAGAAAGAAAGAAAATCAGAAATTCCATTCGACCCTTCTGTTTCCTTTCTTATTATCTTCCCAAAGGAGACATCATACCACAGTGATGCATGAGAACATGGTGATAGCAGTACAACTTTTAATGGCTAAATCTTGGAAGTGGCACATATGTCCAACAACAATGAATGGACAAAGAAAACGTGGTATTTATACACAGTGGAGCACTTAAAAAATACCACTTAAAAATGATTAATTTGAGTCATTTTTCTGGAAATAGACTCTAATGTCTTGAGACCATAATGTGTGAAATAAATTACGCACAAGCTTAAGTATCACATGACTTCGCTTAATATGAAAAGCTCAAAGTACAAATAATTTAAAAAGCACAGTGAAAGATAGGCAACAGAAAACAGGGAAGGAGATCTAGAAATGGAGGGAAGTTGCAAGGTTGGGAAGGAAAGGGGAACGAAAAGAATTAAGATTTGTGAAGTACATTTACCTGCTCCTAATAACGATGTAAACATTATGTACTGCAAACATGTACTAATAAAATAATAAAATATATAAAAAACCAAAACAATATTTTTTAAAGTGTAGTTCTATGAGATATTTGTCTGGCAAGATGTTCTGTGAGCAGATGTCTTAGGGAGGAAGTGTTGGTTACATAGCACCCTCTTCAAGGCTTTTAAGAATCCCAGAGTGACCACCTCTTTATAACCTGGTTAGACACACTGTTTACCGTATTGGTTTGCCTGTGCACTTGTCTTCCGAGCTCTTTTCCCCTGTGAGCACTAACATCCTAGCAGAGTGCTCAGCTGAACACACGCAGATGCTATGAGAAGACTTTCCACACTCATTTCATTTTTGTGTCATCCAATAGCCTGCCTTGCGACTTTGTATAAATACACTCGGTTGTTAACGTGAATTAACAAATGAATGGAAATCTTTACTCTGCTAATGACAGGTCAATCGTGTTGTGCAAAATTATCTGTTTTCTTCCTGCATGACAGTGTCTGTCTTGGCTAGATAATTGCTGCTTTCCTTAGACCATAAAGGACACGCGTTCGCTGAAAAACACTCTAATTATGTGAAGAGTTTAGGATCTAAAGCCAACACTGGGTGAATCTTATAATTTAAAGGAGATTACTCAGGTAGTTACTCTAATTATTTTCACATATTGCATTTTGATTTTGTACAGCTCGGCTAATATAACCCCTCCTAATTGAAGTTCTTCGCTTGTGAAATGTACCGAAACAGATCTTATAAGGCGATTACAATCTAGTGTTCCAGCAAAGTTATAATTATGGAGTATTAGCCATCCACGTCTAAGAAGGAATCTGTGTATTGTTTGTGTACCCAATGTTGCTGTGGGGGGAAAAGCCAGGAAGATAAAATTCTTCTTTTAAAAAACTGAGCAAATTGTTGTTTTGCAAGCCTGCAGCTGGGAGGACATTTAATAAGAACATTTGTTGCATAAAAGTCCTATGCTGGACTTTGTATATAAATAAGCCTCACTGTGCCTCTCTCTCCAGTTTGTCGTGTACTGGGTGAAGCACTGTGGCGGGGTATAGTGATGACCTAGACCCTCTCCCCGAATGCATGGTCAGATCTAAGGCTGTATAAAAATAACGACAGTGCCAATGATTTCAGGCAGAGTGTGAATCCTGGAAGAGAGCTGCACACTTCAGAACGTGCACTGGATTGTCTTCCGAGGGGAGACAGAGATTGCTTGCTAGCTGTAGCAGTTCCACACTTACCCCTCATGATCTGGGGCAAACAGGGTGCTTGGCTAGAATTGCTTGTGAAATTTACCAACGGGCTATGACTTGCTGTGGACTTCATGGCACACTGAGGATCAGGGGTCAGTGAACTTCCTCTGTAAAGGGCCAGATGGTAGATTTTTTTAGACTTTGTGGGCATTGTTATAACCTTGTAGTGCAAAAGCAGTCACAGGCAATATGTAAATAAGTTGGCCTGGCTGAGCTCCAATAAATGTGTATAAAAACAGACAGCAAGCACTCCAGACTTGGTGCAGACCCCAAGAAGCAGTGTTTTCTGAATTTTAGACATCCATACTCAACTTTCAAGATCTGTGTCATAATACTCACTCCACCATAGGGCACTGGTAGCAACTTTTTGTCACACCTATACTATTAACTACTGAGTACTTTATTTATAAACGTTTTTAAAAAGATACATTGTTTATTTAGCTAATTAGTTTAGTTTACTTCACTGGTGATGGAAACTAGGGCTTTGTGTGTACTTCCTCACTGACCTCCCTCCCATAGACCCTAGTGCATTTATTTTTAAAAGAAATTCTCAATCTCTGCTTCAGCTGTATCACTCACCACAAAATGAAGGTAATTCTAAAACTAGAAAAATTTATTAAAAACCAAACTAAAGTTACTGAACTCTGCTAGACTTTGTTGCTTGTGGAAGGTTCCAAGGCTGAGGTCTTGTTACAGAGCAGTCATAAGTGGGGTTGTGAATGTATCTTCGCAGAAGAGTGTCCTTTTAGCACAAGGGAGGCTGTGGGTTCAGTCTCTAGCACGGGAAGGAAAAATAAATAAACAGAAAAGCAGGCGTGAGGAGCCTTTTAAAGAGTCTCTTATTGGAGATGTGGTCCTTTTTTGTGATTGGACAAACTGGAATATTGCTGTGTGCAGCCAATCATTTCAGTCTGTGGACCTTTGCAGAGTATTCCTGTGCTTGTAGAGCCTTCAACTATCACAGATCCTGCTGCGGTGGGCAGGGCTTGATGATCAGGCAGCCTGGTCAGTGTTTAAGTCTACTACTGTTTGCACAGCTTGCTACTGTCCTCAGCTTACCTTTCTGTTTCAATTGTTAAACTTGCTAGTTCTAGATATTTGTAGATTCATTTGTGGCTGTAAGGAATAATAGAGAGAGTTCAGTTACCTTTTACCTACTTCCCTTCCCCAAGGCCGTGTCTTACAAAACTGTAACACACTCAGGATATTGAGATACAATCCTCAGATACCTGGATTTCCTCAGTTTACAGTGTACATTTCATAGATGCCATTTTAGCCATGTGTAAGTTCCATAATCAAGAAAGGAGAATTCCGTCACCACAAGACTCTCTTGTATTTTCCTTTTATAACCTCCCCATCTGCTGCCTGTTCTCCCTTCTTCCCTCCAGGCCTCAGCCCCTAGCAAACTTTTAATCTGTTTTCCAGCTTCAGAAGACTTTGTTTCAGAATGTTACATAAATGGACTTGTTGCATAATATATAATCTTCTGAGGTTTTTTTTTTTCTGCTTAAAGGATTCATCTGTATTTGCATCTCTGGTTACTTTTTATTGCTGAGTAGTATTCCATGATGTGGCTGTGCCAGTTTGTTTAACCATTTATTCATTGAAAGACATCTGGGCTGTTTCCAGTTTTAAGCTATTATTAATAAACCTATTAGGAGCATTTGTATGTAGGATTTGGTTTTACTTGGACATAAGTGTATTTCTCTGGGATTAGTGTGTAGGAATACAGATGCTGGTTCTATGGTAATTATATGTTTAGTTTTGTAAGAAATTACCAAAATCTTTTCTTGAGTGGTTATTCCCAGCATCAGTTTAAGAGTGACCCAGTTTCTGCACATCCTTGCCAGATTTGGGGTTGCCACTACTTTTTTAATTTTAGCAATTCTGCTAGGTCTGTAGTGATATCTCATTATGGTTTTAATTTGCATTTTTTAAATGGAAGATGGTGTTGAACATCTTTTCCTGTGGTTATTTGCCATCTGTATATCCTGTGAGGTAAAATATCTGTTCATGTCTTTTGACCATATCCTAATTAAATTTTTTCCTTGCTGTTGTGTTGTAAATTTTTAAATAATTGCTTTATTGAAGTATCTGTCGTTCTCATACCATGAGATTTTCAATAGTAAGTGAATTATTTATCCATAAAATGGTTTGTAGTGAAATCACACAGAGGTACAACAATACTGTGAAATTCCACAACATTTTCATCACTCCCCAAAGAACCCTGCAGCAGTTTCTCCAACCCCATTCTTTTTAGCTCCGGTAACTACTCATCTGCTTTCTCTCTATATAGCTTTGCTTATTCTCCTCTTATGAATGCAATCATATGATATAGGATCTTCTGTTTTGGGCTTCTTTTAGTTAACAAACTCTTTTTGGAGTTCATCCATGTTGTAGCATGTATCAGTATTTCATTCCTTATTCATGGTCAAGATTCCCATTGTGTGAATATATCACGTTTTTAAAATCTGTTCACCAATTGACAGACATTTTGGCTTTGCTTTGCGGCTGTTATGCGTAGTGCTGCTAATAACATTCATGTGCAGATTTTTGTGTGGGCAGTTGTTTTAATTTCTCCGTGGTATATACCTAAATGTAGAATTTCTGGGTCCCGTGGAAACCCTTTTTTAGCCTTTTAAGGAACTGACAGACTGTTTTCCAAAGTAGCTGTACCATTTTTATATACCCATAAGCCATGTATAAGGGTTCTCCACCTTCTCACCAACACTTGCTATTGTCTTTCTTTTTATTGTGACCGTCCTAGTGGGTGTGAAGTGATGTTTCATGTTTACTGTCTGTGGTGGATTGGTAATTGGTGGTCAGCTTGTGGCATCCAAGTGAACTGAATCAGCGTGGTACTGAATATGCATGACTGCCTGAGGACTGTTGCCAGGATAAAAAGAACTGGAGAGGAAGAAGTAGGTTCCCCGTGGTCTGTTGGTTCTTTGTGGTGCTGTTGGTTCTCCTGTTGCTGTGAGTTCTCCTAGAGGAGCTTGTTGAGCTTCTTTCCTGATATGAACTGGGCTGTTCTCCTTGTTAAAAGAGCCCTGAACCTATTGTTGCTGAAAATGGATGTGGTTCACTGTAGAGGAGCTCTGTTCCTTATGTTTTGGGCATTGCTTCCTGGCTCCAGAGGGGAAGATGGTGTGCTGCTCAATCTCTAGAAAAATCTTGTCACTCTGGCTTCTTTGTTCTCACTGTCGGAGGAGCTTTGAAACCTCATTGTTGCTGAGGATGGTTGTGGTAGTTTTGAGGGGAGCTCTGGTTCTTACTTTGAGCATTGCTTCATGGCTCCAGTACAGAACCCTCAGCCTACTGGCACAGATCCTTCATCCTGCTGGCTCAGGCTTTTTAGCTTCTACCACTGACCTTAGGCCTTCCCAGCGCAGATCTGTGAAACAGATTTGTGGACTCTCAGCCTCCAGTTGGACTCGTGGGAGGCATTGTGATGGGCTGTAAGTCTTCAGCTGAATTCATACAGGATATTGCCATGAAGCCCAGGCCCTCAGCAGGATTCTCTAGGTCTTTAGTGTGTGGACAGATTTCCTGTACTTTCTTTGTATTTGCCCTTTGGGTGACCACTATAAATAATACAATAAATTATGTGTCTTGTATGGTTCATTCTCCTTGCAAGCTCTGACTACAACATTATCAACTTTTCATTTGTTGGAAGTCTGTCAATTTTTCATTTGTGGATTACATTTCTGACATTAAGTCTTTGAGACCACTTTGCTTCAGCTGTGTCTTTTGCCCTGCCTTTTGCTCAATTACACCTCTTCCACTAGCTCTTAGGACCCCGCTGTGTTGAGTGATTCATCTGAGTCTTCCAGGTGAGGACAGCTATGGTAAATGGACTGGGAGACAGGGAAAAAGGAAGAAAAGGACCGTATCTGGACAACCCAGTTTCTTTCCCTGGCACCAAGAAGGTGTGTATTAACTCCTGCACCATTCCTGTTTCTCTTTCAGACCCTAGAGGAGGAGCTGTTTTGGAACAATGAGGAGAGCCCAGCTTTCAAGGAGTTCTTGGACCTGTTGGGGGACACGATCACACTGCAGGACTTTAAAGGGTGAGTTTTAGTCAAGGGGCAGAGACCCTAGAGCAAGGGCCAGTGGCAGGCAGCTCATTCCTCAAGCAGGGCTTGTGAAAGTTAAAATCACATACATGGAATATGGGACTATTTTTCAATGTTTGATCAGCACTTCCTGGCCAGCATTCCTGAAGAATCAGTGGCCCAGGGGATAATCCTGCATGGCAGGTTGTCTGGAAGACATTGACATTTGGCCTCCAGACTCATGATGAGATTTCTCCTCCTGAGATTTGCCTTCCTAATTACATTTGGCTCAGACTGAGAGTGAAATGAATCTACCTTCTCTACCACTTACCTGCCAGGCAAAAGACAGCCTTGTGTAGTTTGGGAGGAAATGACCTAATTTAGATAATATACAAGGAATGGGTAATTAAGAGCGCATGTAAATATGATAACCCCATTGGCAGGAATTCATGCAACAGTCTGTTTTTCCTTAAGTGGACAGAAAGATAGAATATTGGGGCCATTTTGAGCTCCAGCACTGGAGGAAAAAAAGAGTGGAGAAAATGAGGGAATATTGGAGTGATTGCTTGTAAAACCTTGGCTCTTGATTTAACTTCAGATCAAGTAATGCCCTCCCTGGAGCTCCCACCCTCTCTCCTTCCCAACTTTGGGAGCCCGTATAACAGGAGTTAGCATTATGTGTAAAAGTACCCAACCCAGCTGGGCATGATACTACATGCCTGTAATCCCTGTGCTCCAGAAGGCTAAGGCAAGAGGATGGAAAATTTGAGCCCAACCTGGGTGACTTAGTGAGTGAGACCTTGTACCAGAGAGGCTGGAGCATATGGGAAATAGCTCAGTGTGAAGGCTTCGGGTTCAGTGTCCAGTACTATGAAAGAGATAAAAGTATCTTCCCCAGTTGCCTGGTCTGCAGTAGGCATGCGGTAATCGTGTTACCCATCTGCTTCCTTCTCTTCTGCTTCCTTGTCCTTTCCTCTTTTCCCTCCTGCTCCATCCTCTCCACTCTTCCAAATCCCCACTGCTGTCTAGAGTTTGTGGCACCTGGGTTAAAATCCCTGCCCTGCTGCTTACTGACAGTTTTGGACTGGTGACTTTACCTCAGCCAGCCTCCATGTTCTCATCTGTAAAAAAAGGAGGTAAAAGATAACACCGAACCCAAAAAGACTGCTAGAAATTTAAGATAGATAATGTGTGAAGTGCATTTATGCTAGTGTCACACATTGGTCTTTGTCGTTGTGATTGTTCTCAGTTTATTGTCTTCCATTGACGTCAAGATGCCATCATTTCTAAGATGCATTCTGATTGGGTGATGTTAAAATGTGAAAAATGCGGATGTTTGAATAGATAAAATACTGTACATTCAACCCAGAGTTTATGTAATCCTGTCCTTGTATACTATAGAGAAAGGATACCAAAGCCAAGAGAACTTAAGGGCTACAACCAAGGTCCCAGAGCCATGAGCAGGTGTAGAACCACAATGCCTGGCTGCCCATCCAGTGTCCTTTGTGCCGTGCTGGGCGGAGTGTACTTTGAATATTCTGACATCCAAGGTCCATCTTACATCATTTCTTTTTTTTGCAGTACTGGGGATTGGATCTAGGGCCTCGTGTTTGCTAGGCAAGTGCTCTAATGCCGTGCTGTATCCCCAGCCCTTTTTATGTTTGATTTTGAAACAGGATCTCACTAAGTTGCACAGACTGGCCTCAAACCTGTCATGCTTCTGCTCTTGCTTCCTGAAATAGCTGGGATTATGGGTGTGTGACACCACGCTGATTTATTTCATTTTCTGGAAGGAATTTGCGCCTGCCTTCTCTCAGCCTTGCTGAAGAATGTTGTCTGGAGCTGTGTTTCTATAAAGGCAGAAAGGACAGATCCTGGAGGCCTTGTCCAGTTCCTTCATGCTTTTATTTCCTGCCTGTGAGACGGCACCTACCTCGATACCCCCACCTCGGTGCTGCTACCGTTAGGTTTCCACATCAGGGACTAGCTAGGTCCCTGCTGCTCCCAGATCCCACTGTGGGGTTCCCCAGGTGTCTGGCAGGGTGACTGGTTGCTCTGGCTCTGGACTCATGACTCGGACATGGCCTTGCAGAGAGTAAAAAGCCTGTGTCCAGCCTAGGAGGTCACTAGCAGCTGTCTGGAAAGCGACATGGCTGGTAGTATGCAGGGGACACAGCTGAGGCTTGAAGTAGAGATTCTGCCTTTGACTTTTAGATGTCAGCTTCAGGGCACTGGGTCTGGACTACTCAGAGCTCATCTCCCTGATTTCGCGGACTCGCATTCTCCTCTCTCAGCTCTTCCACCTGCCTGCTGCACCTCCTTAAAGAAGGTGGGACCACGTTGGCCACTTCACCTCACTCTCTCTCTTCCTGCTCCTGTCCAGTTTCCGAGGAGGCCTTGATGTGACCCATGGACAGACAGGGGTGGAGTCAGTGTACACGACATTTCGGGACCGGGAGATCATGTTTCACGTCTCCACAAAGCTGCCCTTCACTGAGGGTGATGCCCAGCAGGTAACCTGGTTGGGGGTGTTTCGGGAGCTTGGGGCGTGGCAGGTGCAGCAGCCCATTGCAGGATGGAGTGGGAACTGCGCAGGACTCTGGTTTATTCCCATCTTAACTCCTGGAAGCTGCAGCCCAGAGTGAGCAGTTAAAAGATGTCCTTGAGGGCTAGGGAAGGGTCTGTGGTAGAATACTTGCTTGGCATGCATGAAGCTTCTGGTTCCATCCTCAACACCAAAAGAATAAAAGCCTCCTTGCCATTTCCCAGTTAGCTTGGGGCTGAGCTGGGATCATATGTGAGCGTCATGAGCACATAGGGTGATGGTCAGGGGACATGGGGGGGCCTATGGATGGGCACTTACAGGCACTGACCATTTAGGGCTGTGTGACTCCGGGCAAACTGGTTACCTTGTGGCACCATTTTTCTTATCTGTGTCATGGGTTTATCAGCACTTGTGTCAATGCCTGTCACAAGTTTCTGAATATAGAGCTTCCACAATTGATGGATGACATGTGGCTGGTTCTTACATGTTAGCTATTTCCTGGCCAGGCCACTAGTCATTTTGCCCTACTCTACTGCTCAAGTGGTGTGATGCTCTTACTGCAGGAGAATCCCATCCACCCCTTCCCAGGCAGTTGGTCACAGCCTCATCTCTCCCAGTACCTGGCTGTCAGCAGGAGTCGAGCCTGTCTGTGACTGAGGACCCCGTGCAAGACCTTATCTCCAGCATTTTTGCTTTTCCCCATTTTTGCTGTTCTCCAGCTCACATCATGTGCACCTCTGGGGAGGGCCAGGCCCTTCTGAAATGCACAGCTGATCCTGGTAGCTGTAACTCTCTCTGCCTCACCCTGTGTTTTGCCCCTTTCTTACCTCTGGGAAAACAAGAGGGGCGGATGGCCTTTACCCAAACTCTGACCTGTTTGTTTCTGAACAGGAGATGGGAGAGGGAGCAGGGGCAAAAACCTGTACATATAGTGACTGGTTTCTTAGAATAAAAGAAGATTGGCAAAAACAAGATTATAACTTGGCTCTCACATAACTCTTGAATGTCTTAGAAACAAACTGGAGCAGGATTCCTCTTGTAGTCCAAAGTGAATTTTCTGTCAGCGTCTCATCTTTAGTCTGTGTCATCTTGCTGTCCCCTTACCTGCTGCCCCAGCACATGGCTTGTTCTGTCAGGGCGGCCACTTCAGCCTGACCTGGTGTTAATTGGGAAGTATACGTTGGCACAGAGCTCAGCTCTTGGCAGGGGCTGAATAAACATTTGCTTTGTCTTCCTAAGAAACAGGGGGATTTGTGTGCATTAAGCCAGAGAATCCTCGTACAGTGCCCAGCATGGTGCTTACTCCACAGCAGATGCTCAGTGTATGAGACACTCAGCACCAAAAGGCCAAACCCAGGGCTGCTTGCAGTAGGTGCTTAGTAAAGGAACAAATGCACAGGCAGGAACCCACCAGGACCTGATGTACCAGAGGGCTTTAATGTTTAAAATCATAGCTGTGACTAGAATCATGGGATTCCCTACACACAGTAGTTGCTTGGTGGCTGAAATTATGTGCAAAAGCCCCTGGCACTGCTTGGGATAGTGAGTTGAGGTGGGACTCCCCTCTTCAAACTGTCTTCTCCAGGCAAGTGATATGATCCTTTCTAAGCTCGGCTCTCCTGTCCCCTCATAGAATAACCCACTGCCTAACCTCACCCCTGCTCATCCATATTTTCATTAGACTTCAGTAGCCTCCTCCGGGAAGCCTTCTCAGTTGCTCTGATTTTGCCCCCCTTTTCTGTCCCCAGAGCTGCCGGGTGGTTCATGGATAGCCACTGGCTTAGCACTTGCTGGCTGGCAGCTTTGACAGTGCTCTCAGGTGACTGCTTGTGTTTGTGTTCCTCCCAGACTGATTAGAGGCTCTCTCAGGGGAAGATCCAGTTCACCTTTTAAATCTCCTCCGCAGGTCCTGAGTCAGGGCTCTCCCACTGTTGAACTCAGTAATGTGTGCTCACTAGTAGCTGCTGGGGGAATCGTCTCCATTTTTCCCCTTCTTGGTGGCTTCTAAGGGTTGCAATAAGCAGCTCTCTGGAGACCTAGGTCTCAGAGTTCTAGGGTTTATATTCAAAGGTAAAATAATAGATTTCCTGTGTGGATCTTTTCTGTTTCCAGGATGTTCCTAACTGGCTTGTAATAATAGAATACTTTTTGTTCAGCTACAGCGAAAGAGACACATCGGGAATGACATTGTGGCCATCATCTTCCAAGAAGAAAACACCCCATTTGTCCCAGATATGATCGCCTCCAATTTCTTACATGCCTACATAGTTGTGCAGGTTGAGAGCCCAGGCACAGAGATTCCATCCTACAAGGTAAGGAGAAGGTCACGTAGGAGGAAGTTGTAGACCTAGATACTGTCCCCACCTTGTGAGGTAGCAAAGAACACTAGTAATTAACAGAATTGGCATTCTGGTGAGTTGTCAGGTTCCTGGGATTTGGAGCTAAACTCTTGGTGAAAAGCGTCTTCCAAGGTCGTCTTGTCTGTTTTGCTGCCTCCAGGCTTGGTAGCATCTGGCTCGAGGGTCTAGAAGTTCTGAGTACTGAAATTGGAATCTGATAATGACATTTGCTAGGCTAAGGCATTAGTAGGAGAGAAAGAAGAGAGAATGGAGAGCAAAGTCAGGAAAAGAAGAGAGGAAGAAAGGTAGGAGGAAACAAAGGGAAGAAAAAGGGGAGTGATTATGGTCCAAAGAGAGGAAGGAGGCCTGGTAGACCCTGGCCCCAGACAAGCCCTCTGGTCTAGCTGTTCCGAACAGAGGAACAATCTCTATGTGAAGACCTCAGTGGATCAGGAATGCAAGGCCTGTGTCACCGTCCTGACCAGTGAGGCTCAGTTTTTCGTCTTAAGATAATGTGGGAAAAAACTGATCAGAATGGAGAATAGTGATTAGTAAAGACCGGGAAGAGTGTGGGATAAAAGGAGGTTGGATTCACTCAGGGCATGTGGTACACATGTGTGGACGTAGCCCGCAGAACCCCATTAACATGTATAATAATACAGGTGCTTCTGTTTGAAAGAAATGGAAGTGGGGGGTATGCGTAGATGAGCTAGATAGTTTGCACGGAAGTGCTCTGCAGGTGGACTCCAGTCCTCGTTAGTTCCATGAGCCAGCGCCGGGGCAGCTCCTGTCCTGCAGTGCCCCTAGCCTGCTCCTGATGCCTGTGCCCTAACCGTCCCGTCCTCTTTTCCACGAGGGGTGGCCCTGCACTCTGGGGCAGCAGTTTTTCCATGTCTCTGTGGCTCTAGAGACAGGGAGCCGAGGGAGATAAACTAAGGCAGGATTTGTAAGGTAAGTACTAGGTAGTCTCTGGACCCTTACGGATAAGTACCAAATGCTGAATTTTTGTATTTCTTTGTGTTTCCTGGGTAGAGAGGTCAGAGTTAAATTCTCAAAGGGCTTCCTGGTCCATAAACTTTGGGGACCACTGCTCTATGATTTTAGAAGATAAATGAACCTGTTATTGTTAATGAGAGACAAGCCTGGAGATACTTCTTGGGTAATAACTTGGGTCTAGGCTGATTCCTGGCATTTTCTAAACAATACTACTTCATGGCTGCTTTCTAATACTCATTTTGGTATTGTTTGGTTATCTTACCCTTCCATAAGTACAAACTTACATGTTTTCAGTGCAAAATTCATATCGTTTTAAATGTGAGATTTGAAAAATAAAGAATATACCAGCAAATCCCTCTTGTTGAGGTGAGCTGATTTCTTTGCACACAAACCTTTGTGTCCCTCTGGCGTTGAACTGTTTTAGGGGTCACTGAATTGGACTGAAGTGGCCATTCATGGTTGTTCGGTTGACTTGTTTGTGGAAGTGGCCTGTTTCTTTATTCATTGCCTCCCGTGTTCTATATATACCTCAGGCTGGGCAAGAAGGAAGTGGGCATGCGGAATTGACCCTATACACCCTTGCTGACCCTAGACAAGGGACAGAGGAGCCAGCCACTGGGCAGCACAAATAGTTACCTTATTCTTTTCACAGTATATACAGGAGCTGAGAGTGCCAGTGCATGCCTGTCATCCCAGCACTTGGGAAGCTGAGGCAGGAGGATTGCCGTGAGTTTGAGGCCAGCCTGGACTATATAGTGAGACCTTGTCTCAAAAACAAAAAAAGCTCCCTCAACCCTCACCCTCCACAGGAAAGAGTATTCTACCACCAAGAAAGAACCCTGAAGTAAAGTGGGGTGATAGCAGGACTCTCAGACCATGCCATGCAGTTGTCTGCTTGGCTCATTTGCCGATAGAATGAGGGTTCTTGTGTACGTTTAGTATTTGCTTTATGTTCCTTAGATGAAATGGATCTTACCTACCTGGGTTTTGCGCTTTCCCAGAAGTATAGCAGAGGGCTGCACCCATTTAGAGAAATAGTGGTGCTCCAAAAAACACTACTCACTTATATTTTGATGCTGAAAATCTACCAAGCCAAAATCTGGAACCTAGGGCAAAGCACTGTCCTTGAAGAAGTGCCAAGGAGCAGCAGAGCAGGGCTGCGTCCTCAGGACACTGGATCTTGGCCTTGCATGCCACCTGTCAGACAAGCACCAGGGAGATTAGGTCAGAGAGGCAGAGGGCAGGGTGGGAGATCAATCTTCAAAGGCATCCCCAAAATGCCTCACCCCAGCAGTACCCTAGGTGATTTGGAGACTGAGAAGAATCTGCTCAAATCCCTCAGGGATCCTAGTGAAATAGGACCTTAGCTGACCCCTTCAGGCTGGGATTTCCCCAGGGCTGAGCAAGGTCAGTGAACAGCAGGAAAGAAGGATGGGGGTGGAATCTAGTAATGGGCCCTAGGCGGCCTGGTCCTAGCCTACCTCTGACCTTCTGTGACCCTGGGCCAATTCCTTCCCTCTCAGGGCCCCAGTTTCTGTCTGTGTGAAATGAGGAAGCTGGCCTGGATTACCCGTGAGTGCTTTCCAGCCTGACATCTTGCTGGGGGGAAGGAAGAGTTGAGACAGAGCATGTGTGTATGTGGGTGTGGATTGTGAAGTGGTTTGAGGGCCGTGCTGCGTCTTAGGTGCCCTTTAAAGTACAGAGCAGCAGGGAAAGTTAAAAGCACTGGGTAATGGGTTTTACCCTTGCTTGAGCCAGGCACTGTGTTACAAGCGCAATCTTCTTGAATCCAGACAGCCTGGAGAGCCCTGCTGTTACAGGGAGAACACTGAGTTGAAAGCTTAGGTCATGTAAGGACTGAGGCCACAGAGCTGGGGGCTGTGGAACTGGAATTTCTGCCCAGGTCTTCCTGTAGTACCATCAGAGCAGGTAGGAGACTATCTGCACAAACCCAGGCATGCAGGAGATGTTCTTTAGATTTTTTTCTCAGGGATTTAGTCCCCATCTGGCCTGATTAGAAGAAAATTCCAGTTTGTCCATTGTTAGAACTCCTCCTTCCCCATCTTGGGGTGTCACCCTGCCCTGTTCCTGAGGGTCTGCCAAGGATTCAGGAGGAGGATTCAGGGGGAGGGCTCTCCCACTTCCTACCAGGACTTACTTGGTTGGACAGCCCTCCCTGGCCCTCTAACATGATAGGCCATGCCTGGGCTTGGGAACTTGGTTGGGTTTCTAGCATTCAGGTTCCCACATCCTGGGCGCATCCTCATGGCCCCACGTCCAAGTTCCTTCTGCTTTCCAGCCATGGGGATGCTCTTCTTCAGAGCACCTGCTGCCAGCACTCCCTCAGGGCCCTTGCTGGATTTAGAAACAGGAAGGTAGGGGGCTGTGTTCAGGCAACTTCTGCTTGCTGAAGCAACCCGAGCATCCCCCAGAGGAAGGAACAAAGGTCTGGCTGCCTCTTTGGAACAGTGTGGGGCAGGGGAGGAGGTGGATAAAAGATGAATGAATGTCACCAGGGAGGAGTTGGCCAGGGGGCCCTTGCATTTCTGATGAGCTGCTGCAGAGGCCTAGTCTGGCCCGAAGACCTAGGTGGATTTCAGAGTGCGCCTGCACCCTGTCACACAGATCACTATAATACAGGCCTCAGAAGGAAGAGGGTGTAGGAAACAGCAGGGCGCATTTTGCTCCTTGGTCCCAGGTGTCCCAAGGTGCCTGCGGTCACTGGCTCTGTGCAGCCTACCCTGTGCCCAGTTCTGGCTCCATGGGTGGAATCTTGCCATGGGCCTCAGTGCACAGTGGGTGGTGGTAGGGAACTGTTTTCAGCAGCTGGCGCTCAGCCAGAAATCACATCAGCCAACACACCCCATTTCCTGAGTTGGGGCACTGCAATTTGCACCGTGTGGACAGCCTTGAGCTTGGGGAGAGAAAGGCTGTATTAACCCACTCCCCTGCACCCTCCCCTCTGGACCCTGTCGGGGCCTTCTTTGGCTCTGCTCCGAGGGGCTGCCTGCTCACCCGGTCTGGCAGGCTCTCTGCATTGCCCCACTTCACAAGCCAGGGAGGCTGGCAGCAGGCCAGGGCCCATCACCTCAGCAGCTGCTGGGAGCGGGGAGCCGGCAGCCTCCTGAGAACCTTGCAGCCACCTAGCCTGGGAGTGGATGAAACAGGGCACCTCCATGCAGAGAGGAGGTGAGGTGTGGGGCTGCTCCTGGCCTGGGTGACCCCTGTGTGGAGCACTTGAGGCTGTGACCTCTCAGTTTGGTCATGCTGGCCCCCTCCTGGGTGCCCCCCACGGGCCTCAACCCTAGTCCAGACCTGGATCTCTGTAAGTCAAACCCGAGCCAGATTGGCCAACCTGTATCTGGGATAAGGCCCCTGAACAATGGTCCCCTGGCTGTACAGAAGCTCGGAGGCACCAGTTTCCCCTGCAGTCAGTATTTACTTTTTAAACATCGAATCAAGTCTGATGTGTGGCCAGGTTCAGGAGTCAGCAGGGAAAGAACCTCAGCTGCAATAGGAGAGGTCAGCACTCTCCGGTCTTCTCGGCTAATTACCTGCATGGCTTTGAGGGGCTCAGTCCCTGTCTCTGGGCATCTGTTTCCACATCAGTAAGAAAGGGATGATCGTAATCTCATGGCTTCTCATGGGATTGAAGTAACAATCGCATGAGGTAATAAAGTAACTCTGCCCTGGGCACTTGCACTGTGTTATCATCAGGTTCTGGCTGCTCCTTGCCATCTTGCCTAAATGCTTCTGGGCTCCAGACAGGCAGAGCAGAGGATGCAGATGGCCCCCCACCATCCAGCCTTACTTCTGGGAGTAGTGTGCAGGGCCTGTGCTGGCAGTGCTCACGGGGGCATTTTACTTGTATTTTGGGAAGGAGGTCGGGGTGAATAGATTTGCTGTAAGAGTGGCTCTTTCCTTCTGACCTGCATGTGACTGTTTTGTTCAGGTCTCTGTCACTGCGAGAGAAGATGTGCCTGCCTTTGGTCCCCCGCTGCCCAACCCCCCTGTTTTCCAGAAGGTAAGAGACTTCTGCTCCTCTCCTAAGACAGGAGGCTTCCATATTTGGGCTGGGAACATGAGGGTGGCCCTTTTGCAGATTTAGGGGAGGGGCATCTCTTTACTCTGGCTCTCTACTTCTCTTCCTGCTGCCAGGCTGGCCCAACAGAGGGCCTCATGGAGGGGTGTTTGGCACTGGATTGCCTTCTGGCTAGAGAAAGGGTTAAATGCCATGTCCCTCTCTGGAGCCTTGGGCAAGCACTTTCTCCAGTCATGGAGATGCCACCATGAAGGAGTGATTTCCCGGGACTCGGGAAGCTTGGTTCCATGCTGGCACGTTAGCAGAGTGGCCTGGCCTGAGCTAGAAATAACCAAATGGCAAAGGCTGTGCCCAGACCTCCTGTTCTGCCCTCCTGTTGCTGTGACTGAGGCCTTCCTGGCAGCAGTGGAGGGTGTGAGAGTTCTGGGCCATCTCGTCTGTTGCAGGGCCCGGAGTTCAGGGAGTTTCTGCTCACCAAGCTCACCAACGCTGAGAATGCTTGCTGCAAGTCAGACAAGTTTGCCAAGCTGGAGGTGAGAGCGTGGGTGCTCTGGGTCTTCTTCCAGGCCTGTCTACCCAGCCTCCCTTGGGCAGGGTCTCACCTTGGGATTTGTTGAGGGTAGGACTTTGCCCCTCTAAACTCTCCCTGTGTCAATAGTGAGAATTCTCTCTGCTTATGGAAACTCCCATCTAGTCTCCAGGTCTAGCTAACGATTTACCAACAATTCTTTGAGTACCCCTGTGTGCCAGGCTTTGTTCTGTTCCCTAGGGTACAAGGATAAGTGAGGTAGTAGAGTTCCCAGGACAGTGGAGGGGGCCTCACTGTAAATGCAGGCTTTCCAGCTCTGAACTGTGATGGAGCCAGCACTGCTCAGAGCGTAGGGTCTGCTTTTACTGGGAGGGAGAGACTGGTAGTGTGTTCAGGGAAGGCTTCTTGGGAGGGATGGCTTTTGAGTTGCTGAAGCTTGATGTCTAGTGCAGTTTTTAGGAAGAAAGACTGGGGACACCTATTCCAGGCATGGTAATAGCATGAGTAGAGGCCGGTTGGAATCAGAGCATGCCTCCATGAGGGAGCTCCTAAGGGTCTGAGGTGACCCGATAGAAGTTCACAGGGGACTGGAGCGGTGGAGACTCAGCTGCAGATGGCAGTTGGTGCAGATCAAGAAGGCCTGTGTGTTGAAGGTTATTGGTGCTATAAAGTTCTTGGGCAAGGCTGTTTGATTTTCATGCTGGCGGGATTACTCAGCGGTGGAAAGGACAGGTGGAAGGGAGGAAACTGCAGGAAGAGTGGCCAGTTGGAAGCAGCGAACAGGTGCCTGAGAGAAATGGTGGTGGCTTACGCAAGGACATGGTTTAGATATGATGGGCTCTTGAGGATAAGGGTGGGGACAAGCGGAATTTCAGGACCACTCCTGGATCTTTGGCTTGGGCTCTGGTGACCTGGAGGTGGCTGGGAGACAATTCTGTTAGCACCTACTTCTCTGGGACCTGCCAAGGCCCGGATGCTGTAAATGGCTCTTGTTGGTCCATGTGAATAGCACCCCCTGGTGTTGCATGCATGGCCTTGGGCAGACATCTGGCTGTAAAAGCTGAGAAGGTGGAGTTTGAGCAGAGAATGGGGGGAAAGGGTGTCCCTGCCCAGGGCAAAAAAGTGTGAGTTGGGGGACAGCTCAGGGAGGAGGAGCAGAGGAGTGGGAGCAGAGGGCTGAGCATAGAGCATTTGCATTTACAGTAGCATCTACATGAAGTGTGGGCTGGCTCCGGGTCTGCACTGTGGCAGGGATATGGTAGCGGAATAGCGGCCCTCAGGCTGTGAGGAGATGCATCATGCTGTCAGCATTACCTCCTGTCCCTGTGCCCTCTTCCCCCAGGACCGTACCAGGGCCGCCCTCCTGGACAATCTCCATGATGAGCTGCACATGCACACGCAGGCCATGCTAGGGCTGGGCCCTGAGGAGGACAAGTTTGAGAATGGGGGCCACGGGGGCTTCCTGGAATCTTTTAAGGTATGGATGTGGTGGTGACGGGGAGCTTCTGTGGCAGAGAGAGGTGGGACAAAGAAAGGAGGTGTCCTGAGCTCCCGAGATCCCAGGTCACTGGTTCAAGGCAATCATATGAGCCGGGACTAGGGGGGACACCCCAGGTGTTCGGTGGAGGCAGGGTGGTCAGAAGCACAAGAGGGTGGGCAGCTGACAGCATCCTTTACCTCCCTTCTTCTGGCCCAGAACTCTTACAAGCAGGGGCGGGCACCAGCGAGAGAGGGACCAATGTGTCACTGATGTCACCTGCCTCCTTCTCTGCTGAGGAGCTCCTGGCTGGGTGGCAGGGACAGGGACACAGCTTGGGAGTCCTCAGAAGCTCGTCTGGAGTGATGCAATAATCCGTCCCACCTGGAAAGTAGCTTTACAGCTCCGTGATACTCCCTCCCAGTTTCCTGGAGACCTGGCTGGGAGGATGGGATAGAGTCACCAGAAAGTCCTTTTGGGCTTTGCAAAGGGACCAAAAAGAAAAATGCAGTGAGCTTCCTGTCCCTGAAGGATTCATGAGAGGAATGGGCAATGACAGAACTGGCGTGGCAGAGAATGTTTGTCACGTGCTGGCTGAGTGCTTATTGGTCCACATGGTACATACATGCAGCATCTGATTTGAATCTGGCAGTTGGCTGGGTGGTTATTTCTTGTTATTTCCACTGACACATGCAGGAACAGGCTGAAAGAGGCCACAGGACTTCTCAAGACCTTATGCCTCAGAGGTAGAGCCTTGTTTCAAATCCAGGTTTGCTGATTCTTAGCTCGAAGTTCTCTGAATTGCCCTTCACAGAGTGGTTAATCAAGTTACCACGTGGGCCCATTGCTAATAGAGTTAGGATTAGATATCCTGTTTTCAAATCCCAGCTCTGCATGGCCCTGGGCAAGGTCTTTAAAGTCTCTAAGCTACAGTATTTTTGCTAATGACGCTGGTATGATAAATTTGCCCTCTGTCACAGAGAATTCACTGAAGCAATGCCTGAGAAGTGCATATTGCCTGCAAGGCCCTGAATGCCCCAAAATGTTAGTTGTTATTGTATAAAGTGTGATCTTACCCATTTCCTATTTTAAATCTCTCAGTGCCCTAGAGGGAAGGCTGTTATCACGGGTATACTACTGTTGGCATAATAATTCAGTCTTGCTTTTAATGATTATGGGCATAGTTTTACATGGGAGGCTACTAAAACTCAAACAGTCTAAATAATTTGTCCCTAGTCACCCTGGAGATAGAGTTGAATTCAGGTCTCTCAGATTCCAGAGCTTGTGCTCTTAACAGCTACGTGATACTCCCTCCCAGTTTCCGAGCCAGTTAAGATTCCACCACATTGGCCTGGGCCCAGGCAGGCTGGGGCCAGTCCCTCATTGCTTGGGTGAGGACTGAGAGCAGGGCATGGCTCTGCTGGCCTCCTTGGAGCCAGCTGCTAAAGATTCCTTTCGAGGCTAAGAGTGGGGAGCTGCTTGTCCAGGCTGGTGGGAGATTCTTGGGGCATCTGTTCTAGGCCTTATGGACAGTGGCAACCAGGGTGAAATAAGAGAAATCTTTAGGGGCTCAAAATACAAGAGGGATGATGGAAAAAAGGAAGTGGGAGGATAGCCCAGGTAGGAGAGAAGTAAATAGGAGACCCGGCAATAGGAAAAGGGTTTGGGTCTAGGGGAGGCAGGTAAATAGGTTCACTTAGAGGGCTCCAAGGCTTTGGATTTTTCCGGAGGCTCCACCCCACCTCATATCAAGCATGTCAACATGCCCACATCCCATAGCAAATGTAATTTGTATGAAGCTACCAGAGTTGAACCACAGCTGACTAGCTAATGCAATGATCTTTGTACACATTTAATAAGGTACTTATTGCTTTGAGTTTTGCATGTTTCATTTGGTATTTTGGAATTAACAATGGTTTTTTCAGGTTTCAAATATTTCATAACTGTGAGAAGCTTGTTAGCTGTCTATGATGTCCAGTGAATTAGATAATCCAGCCACTAGCTATAAGTGGCAGGTCTAAAGGGCAGTGGCCTAAAAGCATTTTGCCCCATCCCTGTCTCTGGAAGGAGTGGCAGTTGATCTGTGTTTGACTGGGAGTATCTGACTCCTAAAGGGATTTCCTAGAGAGGAGTTGCTTGAGGCTTTCTCATGACTCATCCAAGGAATTCAATAATCCAATAATCCAAGGAATTCTTCTTTTCAACGCTAAATCCTCACAACTGTGGGTTGAAGACAGACCTGTCCCTCCATTTGGCTGACACACCAGCCTCCAAGGTCATGCTTCGAGGGGTGATGGGGCCGTTATGGTCAGTCACACAGAGTAAGTCATCAGAGCTATAGTGATTGTGATTGGCCTTTTCTCCTCCCAGCTGGGGAACGTGTATTCTTCTACCTTGTCTCTGTCAATTCTGCTTTCATGTCTCCTACATGGAGAGGCCCGAGCTGGGGGCAGGCTGGCCCCTGGCTCGGCTAAGGAAGCCACCTCTAGTTTTGTGTTTCATTCATGGACATCTTGTTATGGTGTTAGAGTTACTGGCATTCCTCGTAGAGTTCACCCAGACACCACAGGACTCCTCTTGGAGTGGTGCCTGATAGGATTCTAGGAAGAAGACTTGTGTTTGTAATCTCCTTCCTGTCAAAGGCCTTGTCTCCCAGGCAGCTGGCCATATCATAGAAATCCTCAGGGCTGAAAGCCATCACAGCCATCCTGGTCTTCTCTTCTTCCGAGACTACCCTTCCCCTTCCTAGAGGCTTGTTAACCTTTGTATCCCAAGCAGCAGGCTCTCTGTGGCCCTTACTTGTGCTCTCTGGCGCCTCGTGCTGTCTGGTGCACTTCCTCACGTTCACTTCAGTTCCACAGGAGTGCAGAGGTTTTCCTGCAGAAGACATGGACCTGTTGGTTTGCCCGTGTCTAGACCTGAGTTTCAGAATGAGCCGCTTGGAGGGATTCTCAGGAACCTGCTGGTTCTGCCAACACCTTTAAAGTTTACATTTTCATTTAGATGATAATTTTAAAAATAGAGATTTCCAATGAAAAAGGCTAAACTTTTGTCATGAGGACTCACAATTAAAAGATGTCTGTATGGACTAAGTGTACAGAGCGCAAAGTCAGCATTGCAGGTGGAGCCCATGGTGTGTGCGTGTGTGCGTGTGTGTAGGTGTGTGTGTGCGTGTGTGTGCATGTGTGTGGGGTCTATGGACATCTTGAGGGTTTTCTTTATGAAGGAGTTGTAAATCGCTCATCTTTGAAACTTACTGAACCCTTGGCTATTGTTCTGAAAGACCGTACTCAGCCCGTGCAAGCTGTTCTCCGAGGTTTTATTGGTTTCTGATGAAGAAGTGACAATACATGATATATCCATGTGGTGTGAGTACGGAGGACAAGGACAAGGGCAAGGGAAGACAAAATGGGCCACAGTAAGCTGGATAATTTTTCCCAGCCTTTGAGAGCCAATGACAGTTAATGTGTTGGCCTGACCTGACCCCTAGTGGCGGGTGAGGCCACAGCCACTCCTAGCAGGTAGAGGCAGCCCGAGAGTTCCTGTGATGGTGGACCGAGCCCAGCAGACTGGGCAGCATCCCTAACATGTGGCATCTTTGCTCCCTCTTTTCCTGTTTTCTCCGAAGACAGGAAGTTGAGGTTCTAGAATGTCCCCACTGCCTTTCGGGTTGGACTGATAGTTCAGGCCTTGCATTTTGCGCTGCTCAGCTCATGGCTTAGAACCATGGTGTGTGTGTGAGGACACCCCTTAGCTCTGTCTCGTATTTGTCCTGTTACAGTGCTGGACTGCAGTTTTCCCAGGTTGGAGCATCTCAGCAGGCAGCAGATTCACATCTTTGTCACTTGCCTCCCTTGCCTGATTCCGATAGGCATGTCCCCTTTGATGTTCATCTTGAATTTTCTCCTGTTAGTTGAGTTTGTTAAATTGAGGTAACTCAGAGACCCACTTGTAAGGAGATGAGTAGTGTGGTTGGATAGGAAGAGAATTACTCCCTTTGTGGTACTGTGCTCAAACTTGGGGGGGGGGGAGATGAAGCGACGTATGCAGGTAATGGGAAAGCAGTGCCATCTCCCTGCTCTCACACCCTCGAGAGAACGCTTGTTCAGAAGCAGGCAGGAGGGTGTGCTAAGGACTGGGAGATGATGGTGATGGAGGGAGGCCGCTGGGGCCAGAGACAGTAAGCTAAAAGGAAAGTGGAGTCTGAGGACAGCCTGGGACAGTCATACAGAATAACAGACTAGGTTGGCTCAAGAGGTCTAGAAATTTAAGAGAGATTTGAGCTTGGTGCACAGAAAAAAGTCCCCTGTCAGCCACCTGAAGGCATTGAGCATTCTATCCCTGAATGAGGACAGATGCGAATTTCCAGGGAGAGATCAGGGACTGAGGACGGTTCCTGTGGCCACCGCAGACCCCTGAAGCCAATCTTCTCTCCTGTCTTTCTTTGATGTCACCATTACTATTCATTCTCTTCTTGTTCCTGGCACAACTGCCAGTGCTTCTGATGTCGCCATCAGATGGAGATGTGAAACCGGGCAGTTTTAGCCACATCAAGTATGAGTTTTAGAGCTCTCTCCCTAAGATTGGGGTTGGAGTACTGACCCTAAGTGAGAAGGTCTCGTGCCAGGTGTTGGATACACACTGTGTCCTGTCACCCTCATGCACCTTCTCCAGGGACCATCCCCACACTGTACAAACTGCAGAGGTTCACCTGCCGACCACTAAGAGGACTAGGTTCAGCCTTTTCCTGTTTTCCTCAACCCCAGACCGCCATCATGCTCACTCCCAGAATTCCCCACTGTCTCCTCACATTTACCTTGCTGACTCTAACAGCAGAACCAGGGGCGTTTGAAGAGAGGCCTCCCTGACATCAGCCTCCGAGGTTTCTGCAGGAGAGTCCTTGTAGCTTCCTGATTTCCAGTCAGCATTAATTCGCCCAAGGGTTGAATTATATTTTCAATCTGAACCATTTTTGGGGAATTCAGGAACCCTTTCATCTGAAGCCCAGGCTCCTGGCTGCTAGGCCACCCTCCATCTCTGACCTGCTTTGTGGCCTTTGAACATTATTTACTTAACTTTTGAAACCTTTACTGATCTATCTTCTCTACCTCACCGTTGTAAGGGTTTAATAAGATCAGTCTGTGAAGCTTACCAGACCAGATACCAATTCTCAGGATTTATTATGCCCATTGAGTCCTTTCTGGGACAGAGACAGTGAGGGATTTGTCAAAAACAAGTGATGGGTTTGGGGTTGGGCTGTGACTGAGTGGTCTGGGTTCTATTCCTAGAACTGCAAACAAGAAAAAGCAAATATTCGTTTGAAATGTCACTTCTGATGATAGTGGTGGTGGCAACACATGAGACACCAAAGAAATATAAAGATGCTGAGCCTGACGGAGCTGTTCAAGGGCACATCAGGGCATTGCCACATTGTCTGGCCCTCACTTTTTCAGAGGGTGTGTGACTTTAGGATGCTTTGGAGGTAGCAGGAATTGAATGGGGTTGATATTGGAATTCTGTTGCTAGGTGTTGTGTGGAATAAGTAGATAGGGCATAAAAATCAGCATTGGAAATGGATCCTAGTCTCTTCTGTGATGAAGAAAGGAGAGAGATGATGTCTTCTAGGGGAATATTTGACTCAGACAAGAGAGCCCAGGTGACATCAGGGTATGTGGTAGGTGGGCTTCATGTCTCATTTTCCATATCTCCTTTCAGGTACTGTCATTTTGCAGATGGTCTTCCCAGTTCTGCCTTTCTTGTCAGGGGAGGAGGGCAGGCAGGTTGTTTGTTTCCAAGGTGGGAGCATTCCTGGCCCTGAAAGGTCCCTGGAGACTTGGGTTAGGAGCAGTGTTTATGTTGTTTTGCTGGGGCCAATTTTCCAGAAACTGAGCTCTGCCTTGGATGCTGAAGGAGGGAAGGGCTTTGTTCTTTATTTTGAGATATCTGTCAGCTGGTACACCAGATGTGTGCAGGGTCTAAGTCCAGAAGGAAGGGCACAGTCCATGGCTCAGTCCTTCATGTCAGGGTCTTGAGAATCCTTCCCCTCACCACAGTAAGGAAAGCCCAATAGCTCCTGGGATGAGAAGACACAGGGATCCTGTGGTTCAGTTGGTCATGGGCTCCATCTTCTTTTCCCTCCTTCCCTCCCTTGGTCAGTATCCTCCCCTGGAGTGGCCCGGATTTAGGTGTAACTGAGGATTTAGGTGTAACTGTTTTGGGAGTCATGGAGGAAGTGTTTTTTCCCAAAGGCCCCGGCAGACATTCCCTCATGTCCCACTGAGCAGAGGCTATATTAAGTGACAACTTTAGACTGCTTGTGACTTCTTCCTGTGTCCCATGGAGGGGACCAGGCTAGTTCTGCCCGCAAGGAAAGCCTGTGGCAGAGGATCCATTAGTAATATTTGGGTCTAGAAGTCCTTCTCTTGGGAGCCCTGAACAAGTAATTAACACAGATAGAGCATCCCCCAGAGGCCCTGAGCCTTGTATCATTGCTCCAATTTTAGGACTGTTATCTTCTGTGCTCCTTGGAGGTGGGACCATATCTCATACTCCTTTGGCCTCTGGTCTGAAGTTCTGGTTCCTGGTATGGAGCTGGACACAGGAGAAGCACATAACAAATGCTTGTTATTAATAGGAAGAAGACCCAAATTTATTAGATCTTGCAGTGCACTGGTCTCTCTCCTAAAAGCATCATATGCATTCTCACGACAGTCCCATGGTGAAAACATCCTCCATCCCATTTCACAGATACATCTCAGAGAAACTAAGTACCCTTACCAGAGTACCCAGCTAGTGGGTGACAGAAACCCAGAGCCTAGGTAGGTTTAAATCTTGGCAGTGCAACCCTAAGGCTTTTGTGCATTTGACTGCTAAGTTACATGGCCATTGACTCTATTATTAAGTAACCAAATGACTAAGGAGTGGTGATAGAATTTGGGAGTCACTGGAGAGAACCTCCTCCTCCTCCTCGGATGCTAGAATTCAACAGAGCACATCATGCATGTGGGGATCCAGACTTCATGTGGCAGGAGACCCTCCCTTAGGGGAGCTGAGCTCTGCAGCACCAAAGCCACTCTCCCGTGGTCCTGTGCAGAGTTGTGTCACCTTATAAACCAGTCTGGGGTGTGGCTGTCACCCCTGGTCCGTTCCCATTGTGGGGTCAGTGATATTGTGGTTTAGCTTTCTTCTCATGCACTGTGGCTAATTTGCCCATTCTGGTAGTCCTCTCATGAGCACTTCACTGTTTTCTAGCTTGCCCCTCACTCTGTGGTGGTCCGATGTGGGTGCATGGCTCCATGTAGCCTGATACTGCACCTGCGCCCAGTCTGAGCACACATTTCCTCTTTAGCAGCCATGCAGACCACAGCTTGGAATGGAAGTGTGTCTTTAGCCCCTGCAACCACAGGGAGGGCTTGATGCAGAGTTGAAGCATGGATGAGCAGGAACTCCTCACCCAGTTTTCACCATGCACGAGTGCTAGACCTGGGTGCACTAAATGCACTCCAGGATGCCAGCAGAAGAGGCCCAGGAGAGGTGTCTGAAGAGAAGTTTGGTTTTCTGGGAAGAGAGTCAACATGGAGTCCACAGCCTGATTATTTAATGCCTACCTTGATCCTGGTGGAACGTGTGACTCCCCTTTACAGAGGAGGAAGCTGAGAGCTGGACCAGTGTGGGTCTCACTTCCCTCACCTATAGGTCGGCCCACCTTACAGGCAACTGGGGCGTGAGCCCTTCAGCTCCCCCTGCTGTACGGCCGCAACAGAGGATGGGGTAGAATATGGGAAAATTGCATAAACCATGATGGTGGCATGGATCTGTGTGACTGTGTGCTTGTTACATGTGTGTGTAAATGTGTGCACACGTGCATGAATGAATGCACACATGCCAAAAACAAGGTCCTCCTTGGGTACCAGGCGCTGACTCACAGGGCCTCTGCACCCCTCACTTCTCTCTGCAGAGGGCCATCCGTGTGCGCAGCCACTCCATGGAGACCATGGTGGGAGGCCAGAGGAAGCTGCACGGTGGGGGCATCCCTGGCAGCCTCAGCGGGGGCATTGTTCACAACAGCATGGAAGTCACCAAAACTACCTTCTCGGTGAGTGTCGCAGAGCCTGGGCTATCGTGGGGCAGGGAAGGGTCACCAGCAAACCTGTTTAGGGGCCAGCGGGGTGACAGACAAAGTGAGAAGTTGGGGCCTGAGGACAGCCCATCTTCTGCCTTCTGATAATGGTCTTTAGAACCTGTCTCAAGTAGTACCTGGGGTTCGCTTGCAAGAGAAACGCACTTGTCCTGTGACCTTCCTTGACAACCCAGTCTCCAACCCTGCAAAATGGTATGGGGTGCATTCTCCTGCCCAGGGCTTTCAGACTTGTGAGTGGGAGCAGGATGCCCTTTCTTTGTTATTAGTAATGATAGCAGTAGCCACCTCAGTTTGTAGTTCACCAGCCTAATCCCTGTCCCAGCTGCCTGAGGCAAGTGCTAGAGACATTAAGTACCTTGCCAAATGTCTCGCAGCTAAGCCGAATAGCTAGGATTTGCGTGTAGGTCTGCCTGCTTGAAATTTGTTTTCTTCATCACTGTGTGTACAGTTCCCAAAGAGAGAAGCCGTGTGGGCCTATGAATTTGGCCCGATTGACTTACACTAGATCCTGGACAGATGAGAGAACCACATAGCTGATCCATTTATAAATGGACAAAGAAATGGCCCTGGACTTGTGTAGACTAGAATTCCTTTTCATCTTCTTTTAAAGAGCAGAGCAGACTTCTGTGATACTAATGATTCTTGTTATAAATGGTCTTGAACAACTGCTTTAATTTGCCAAATATTTTTATACCTATTACCTTGGTAAGATTCGTAATATGAACAGAGCAAGGCATTTATTTCCATTCTGCAGATGAGGAGACTGAGGCCCAGAGAGTTTTGCCATCTGTTTATGGTTGTGCTGCACATGAATGGCAGGCAGGAACTGGGCTTATGTTAGAATCCTGGTGGCTTACAGATTGGCTCAGGCTCTCACCTCCTCTTCCTCAGACTTTCTGCACTCCGCTGTGCACCTGTGAGGCCAGGTAGCTGTTCGAAGCAGAAACCTTGGCTTCTGTGCACTGCCTATTGTACATGTGGACCTGAACTGTATGACTCTTGCTCCATGTCATAATTGTGAGTCCTGCCTGGGCTCACTGTTCGTGAGCAGTGGATGGAGTGTCAGGAGCCCTGGGTTCTCACCCTTGTTCTGTCAGTGATTTGCTCACTGACCTTAACAAAGTCACCTCCCCTCTCTGGGCCTCAGCTTCCTCACTGGTGAAATGAAAGGTTGAACCAGACCACCCCAAGGTCTCTCTAGCTTTGTGGTTCCCAGTCTGTGACCCCTGAATCATCGTGACCTTCATGACATGTGGGCCTCCCACATGGTGGCCCTGACTCCCTGGGCCCCCAAGAATGTGGCCATTGTTGGATCATTACCTAGGGCCAAGGACTTGGCTTTAATAGGTCAGAAGAGCCTGCCGGTAGCTAGAGTCTCAGAGTCTCACCTCCTGTTGCATAGATCCCTCCCCCCCTTCTTAACTGTGTTGGTGTTTTCTGAGGTCTCCTGTAGAAAGGGGCCATCCGTGGCTGTAGAGGGAGAAGGGAAGGAGGCCTGGGTGCGGGGTGTGTGCGTTCACTTTGGTGGTTTCATTGGCAGCCTCCAGTGGCAGTGGCAACCGTGAAGAACCAGTCAAGAAGCCCCATCAAGCGGCGGTCCGGGCTCTTCCCCCGCCTGCACACAGGCTCTGAAGGCCAGGGGGACAGCCGGACACGATGGTAAATGCCTGGGCCCCTACTCCAGCCCAGCTGGGAGTCTGTTGGCCCTCTGCACCTTGACAGGAGTCAGGTAGCTACCCCTGGGGAGAGCTTGGCTTGTTTTCAGGAGGTGACCTTTAACCTGCATCTTACCTGCATGACCTGATCGTCAGCTCTTTAATCTCTGAGCCCAGTCTGGACCCTTCTTTACATGGAGCTCCAAAGCTGTTCTTGCAACCTTTTGACCTAGGCTAGAAATGGTGTTAGGTTCTTGTCTTTCTTTGTCTTCTTTTAAAATGCTCACTCAGATGTCTATTTTTTGCAGTACTGGGGATCGAACCCAGGTCTTTGTGCACGTTAGGCAATAACCATTCCACTGAGCTGCGCCCTCAGATCTCAAAGACCCATCCTATGGAAGCTTTCCCTGACCCTACCAAGCAGAGTTAATTGATTTTCTGGACTTCTAGAATATTCTAGACAAATACATATATTTTTAGTAACTCTCATAATGTGCTTTATTCTCATATTATAATGTACTTATTCTTGCTAAGCGTCTTTCTGATCTTTCATTGTTGAGCCCATTTTATAGCCCATTTGCTGTTTAATTCAGCAAACAACATTTACGGAGTGCCTGTCCTATGCTCGGCTGCTTAGTGTTCAGCAAGAGCTGCTCCAAACACACTCCAGCCCTCCAGCTTACCGTCCTGTGGGGAGAAGGAAGACACCTGGATGGTCTTGCAGGTTGTCTGCCTGTGGCCCTGGGTGGTAGTCCCATCCCCTCAGCTAGGGCACGTGGGCCATATATTATAGAGAAAGACCAGTGGTCTGTTGGAACCAGTGTGTGGCAGTCTCATGGACCACCCAGCACTAGAGATATCCAGCTCTTGAGTTCTGAACAGAGCTCTGGGCTGGAGAAACGGAGTTGGGCAGCAGCGGGGTATAAGTGCTAATTAAAGAGAGATGAACCAATGAATACGATCACCCCAGAGAGGGCATGTGGAGCCTCGCAGGCAAGCACAAGTAGAGGACAGAGAACTGGTGAAGATGTTGGGAAGGGAAAGAGAAGGAGAGGGTGCAGAAGGCAGGGTCTCTGAAGCTATGAGGACAAGTTCCATTAGCTCTGACTTTAGCATAATTGATGCACATATCCATTGTATCACCACTCATAAAAGCCTTGAATTGGGACATGCAAGTGTCTGTTGCTTGATTACTAGATCAATAAAATACGGTTTGTCCATAAAATGAAATATTACTTTGCAATAAAAAGGACTAAAGTAGTAATGTACGCTGCAACATAGGAGAACTTTGAAAATATTATGCTAGTGAAAGAAGCCAGATATAAAGACCATGACAGTGTGTGACTCCGTTTCTGTAAAATGTCTAGACAGGCAAATCCATAGAGACAGAAAATAGGTCAGTGGTTGCCGGGGGTGAAGGGGAAGAGGGATGGGCAGTATTTACAGATGGGGCCAGAGTTTTTTCTAGGAGGTCTAAAAATGTTCTAAAATTAGATTATGGTGGTGGTTTCACACTTCTGTAAATATACTAGAAACCACCTAATTGCCCATTTTAAATGAGTGAGATGTGTGGTGTATATATTTTATCTTAACAATGCTATTACTTAGAAAAGTGCCCTGAAGAGAGAGTTGCCATGTCCCTAACAAGGGGCACAGGATAGATGGTCTTTGGTGAACTGCAAGAGAAGGGAACTCTTGGACTTTCATGCTAAGAGCAGCCTTTGACTCAGCTGGAGCCACCTTGCCATATGGATCCAGGGGACTCATATTCTAGTTTATATGTAGGGTGTCTCCAGAGTCACAGTGCAGGCAGACTTCCTGGAGCCTTACAGGAATCTCTGTGTGTTGGGCCATCTGCTGAGCAGAGCCACCTGCTCCCTGTGGGAACACTTGCCATTCTCTGTGGGGTCCTCTCTTGACCCAGGTGGGGCAGCCAACTTGGAGGCAGGGGAAACTTGGGCTAAATATCATCATTCCAGGGCTCCAGTGGATAATTCTGAATTCTCCACCCTTGAACCTAGACAGGTCCTTGCTATAGGGAGCACAAAGTCCTGTTCTCTACTATAGTTTCAGGAGCTGGTGTGGGGAAAAGAAGTCTGAGCAGCTGTGCCTCAGATGGGGGTACATGGGTCCTATAGTCAAAGCTCTGTCTCAGGCCTGCAGATGGACCAGGAGTGTGGGGCTCTCCCCACAGTCTCATTCCTTATTCTTCTTTCCTCAGTGACAGTGCATCCAGTACCCCCAAAACCCCGGATGGCGCACACTCTTCTCAGGAGATAAAGTCTGAGACCTCATCCAATCCCAGCTCTCCAGAAATCTGTCCCAACAAAGAAAAGTAAGACAGCCAGGAAGCAAGGGGAGGGAAGGACTGGCTACGGCCATTTGGAGCCTGGAATGTTTGTTCTGCCTCCAGACGAGCTGAGAGTGACTGCCTCTTGCCTCTGAAACTCTCTGGAGCACAGAGGCTGGCTGGCAGGGCACAGGGAGCCACCGTGGGCAGGCGTAGGTCTGGCCTGGGCTGTCCTGCTCTTGGTCTGGGGAGGCTGGAGCTGAGGGAGGTCTCGGTGGCGAGGGACCCAGGCTTGCCCCTCTTCCCCTTCCCTGCAGGCCCTTCATAAAGTTGAAGGAGAATGGCCGGGCCAACATCTCCCGCTCCTCCTCCAGCACCAGCAGCTTCAGCAGCACTGCAGGGGAGGGTGAGGCCATGGAGGACTGTGACAGTGGGGTAAGTGTGCCTGTCCCACTCGGGCAGTGCACTTGGCACCCAGTTGGCTATACTGCGAGCATTAAAATAGCAATGTGGGCAAAGGCTTCTGTCTGTGGGGATGAAAGGGAGGCACAGAAACAAGAGGTGGCCCAGGCAGCTGTCACCTCCCTCTGGGAGCAGGCATGAGGGCTCCCCCTGGAGTGACATAACAGCAGCAGTAGAGGATCAGGGCCAGGCTGGGCTGTGTCCTTGCCATTGGGATCCTGGCTGGGGAAGGAAGGAGCTGGTGTCCCTTCCTGGAGGGGCAGAGGTTGAAGCCAGGGCTGAGGCAGCAGGAAGGAAGGCACAGATCCGAGTGTGGGAGCGGGGACGGTGGTCACCCTTGGCTTGGGGACTTTCAGCCTGCCTAGGCACAGGAAGCCTTTGGGCCATTGAAAGTGTGCTGGCCTCACTCCTCCGGTCTCTCTCCCCAGAGCAGCCAGCCGTCCACAACCTCGCCTTTCAAGCAGGATGTGTTTTTCTATAGCCAGTCCTCGAGCAGTGAGAGCCCGGGCATGGGGGCAGCCGCCACCCCCATCATCATGAGCCGGAGCCCCACAGGTCGGTGGCATCTGGCGGTGTGTGAGTTACGGTTGGGAGGATGGGCCTTGGGTTTTGCTCATGGAGCAGGTGTCCTGGCCTGCTGAACTGACCAGTTCCCACTCCTCCTGAGAGACACCGGGCCCTGAGGCACTGTTAGCTGGTTTGATTCACCCATCAACTGCAAGAGACCTGTGTTTGTGTCTTTATCCTACACGCAGGCAGACTGAGGCTCAGACAACAGAGAACTGTAATGGAGATCATGTAGGGGGGAAATCGGAATTGTGCCATTAGAAAGCTCTGTGCTGACTTCCTGCCATCAACCGTGCAGACCCCTCTGTCATGGTGATGTCCCTGACAATACAAGGACAAAAAGGAACAGCATGTGGGAGGACTGGAGGGAAGGAAGGGTTGAGTGCTCGTGACCTCCCACGGTTCAGGATTGGCCAGTGCGGGAAGAGAGGCTGGAGGGGCCGTGGGGCGGGGTCCCAGGAGCCCCCTGTGATAACTGTGGTAGGAGCCTCACAGGAGGGTCTTTAGGTTTGAAGATTCTGAAGTAAAAAGGTGCCCCCTGCAGGTGAGCAAGCCCATTTCAGCCACTGTGTGCTAGGTTTGGAAGGGTGAGTGGGCACTGGCAGGGAGGGAGAGCATCGGGAGCTGGTTTGGTCTGGGTAGCTGGCATCATGGGAGAGGGTGTCAAGGAGTAAGACCCTACTGGGCTTTGTAGTTGTGTTGAGGAGGCTGGGCCTTTTGGGGTTCTGAGGTTCTTACAGTTGGGCAGAATTGGTAGCACCATCCCTTGAAGCGGCACTGTAGGTGCTGAGAAATCAAAGCTGTGGCTGTGCCCTTGAGGAACCTGGCATAGCAAGGGACAGGTGCAGGACTCTGGAGTCCACATCCTAACCCTAGATCTGCCACTCACAGTGTGACACTGGCAAGTTATGGAGCCTTCCCTTTCCCTTTCTACTGTCTCCTTTTCCCTTCCCCTCTCTCCTTTCCTCGCCTCTCCTCCTCTCCTCTCCTCTCCTCTCCTCTCCTCTCCTCTCCTCTCCTCTCCTCTCCTCTCCTCTTCTCTCCTCTCCTCCCCTCTCCTCTCCTATGGATTGAACCCAGGGCCTTTGCACTGAGTTACATCTTCAGCTCTTTTTATTTTTTATGTTGAGACAGGCTCTTGCTAAGTTGCCCTGGCTGGGCTCAAATTTTGTGATCCTCCTGCCTCAGCTTCCTAGAGTGCCAGGATTACAGGCATGCACCCCAGCTGCTCATGCATAGTTTATTACCAAGCCTTTCTGCACCTCAGTTTCTCCCAGCCAAAAAATGAAGGGAGAGCACTAATAGTTTTCACCTCCTAGGGTTGGCTGTATGAAGATTGACTGAGCTTATCCTTATGAGATGCACAACTATTAACCTGTGCTAAATAATTGGAATTAAACAATAGCATGATCAGCAGTTCTGCTTTGGGACAATCTTGTTCTCCAGGCACCTCTGGCCATGTTTTATTTTTCATGATTGCAGAAGGGGGCTCCTCCTGGTATCTAGGGGTAAAGAGTTTAAAGATGCTGTTAAACAATGTCTACCCTTTAATCCACAACAAATTATCTGGCCCCAAATGGGATAGGATGAGAAACTCCAGTCTGAATGGTACCCATAGGGCCAATGGGCCATTAGAAGGCTTTCAGCCAGATTGCTTCTGAGAATCTCACAGTGAAGGGATGTTTGTGAACAGGGTGAGCAGTGTCAGAGGGAGGATAGAGGAAGAGCATGATCAAAAGCAGAAGATCCTTTGTGGTGGGGCTTCCCAGAGAGTGGAGCCCTCTCAGTCAGTTCCCTGTGGCTGGGGAGCTCTGGAGCTAGACTGTAATCCTGGTCATGTCACTGAAAAGCCCACCTCTTTGAGCCTCAGTTTCCTCATCTGCAAAATAGGATAGTTGCACCATTTCTTGATTCTTAAAAACAAGGCTTAACTAAATATTGATGAAATGAATGCAAGAATCTGTAACCAAACCTAGCTCCTATGTGGAGCTGAATGAGTAACAAGATAAAGTTTTGAGTAAAGGGAGAAGTAAAGTCTGTGACTTGCTTAAGGTTACTCAGGGCAGAAAAGAGCCTGGGACAAATCTGGTAACTCTTTCCCAGTGTGCACTGTGCATCCCCTGGTGATGTGGCTTCTCATGTACCCCTTACCTCCATGTAGGATTTAGCTGTGGGGGTTGCTTTCTGCCTCTAGGCTCATGTGTGCCGCACTAAGTACTCACAGGGTCAGGGTGGGTTTGGGGAGATAAGCTGAGTCTGGGGAGAGGCAAATGGAGGAGTGGGAGGAGTGGCAGGTGGCCTGGGAGGGCCTGACATAAGAAGCTTCCCTAATCTTGGAGGCCCAACCATTGATTATTTCACATCTGAGCTTCCTGGGTCACTCAGGGAGGTGCTTGTGCTGGGGGAAAGCCTTGTGGTTTGAAGCACCAAGGGTATTCGTCAGTAGTCTCAAGGAAGACTGAACTGAGCTATAGATTCCCTCACCCATGGGAGTTCAAAGGACCAGTGGCCCTCCTGCCAGGAGTACAGTAGTAAAGCCTTAACAGTGGGATCCTTTACTGAAGAGGACATCAGAAAATGGAAATATATTCCCTGTTTCTGGATAGATGAAACCAATATTGTCCAAATGGCCATGTCCTCCAGAATGTTATACAGATCCAATGCAGTCTCAGTCAGAACACGAACAGCATGCTTCACAGATCTAGAGAAAACTATCTAAAATAGCAAAAGTAACCTTGGGCAACAAGAGCAAAGTAGAAAGCATCATAATGCCTGACTTCAAGCTATACTACAAAGCAACAGAGATAAAAATGGCATGGTACTGGAGCAAAAACATCTGTAAAATATAATTTTTTAAAGATTTGATTTTATTGATACATTTTAGATATGCACAATGATCATATTCATCAAAGAAACACTGATATAGCTTTTTTATTTTGTGCATTCTTTTACCCTCCTTAAACCTTTCCTCCTCTCCCCATTTACAAAGCTTTGTTGGAAAATACAGAGTTGAGTAAAATAAACCAGATACGCGAGCTTAAATACTGTATGGTATCTTTCATTTGAGCAAGGCAAAGTATAAACAAAGAGCATAATAAGGGATGGGTAGGAGGTGGGGTAGATCTTTTGCAAATGAGCAGTCCAGGAGAACGAGGGTGCTGGTGGGGGGAAGGGGAAGTAAGTAGATTAAGTCATGCCGTGTACAGGAACCTAATAGTCTCAATGAATGTAAATACTGTGTTTTATGTACATGAGTAAAAATAATAATGATTGAAAATGAGGAAAGAGGATAGAGAGAGAGAGAGGTGGGCGGGAAGGGGATTCTAAAAAACAGAAATAAGCCATATTATGAGCATGTACCCATTCTCCAAGATATATGTAAACTTCATGTACTGCAAAGGTAGTATATAATAAATCAGTAAAATACTTCTTGTGATAAAAAGGGCTCCCTCTGCTGTATACCCACATGTATACACACACTTACTGTAAATTTTACTAATGTAATGAATCTAAAGCAGCTTAATGATAAAAAACAATATTCTTCATTGTAAATCCCATACATCCAGTTGATTTTCACAAGACACTTCCGTTGATATTTCTCTTAACTTTTGTACCATAGCCAGCTTAAGGTTGTAGGTCATGATGTGGTTCTGATGTGAATGTTGCTTAATGTAACTTATAAAAGTGAATATTTTCTACTAAGAGCTTTATTCCTGTGTGGGTGACGTGAGCAACTTCTTTGCTGAGTTGGAGGATGTTTTGCAAATACTGGAATATTTACTGTTTCTTGATGTTGTTCACAATGTAATGGCTGCAGTTACAACACTTTTTAAATTTTGTTTTAATTTTTGTGTAGTAAGGGGGATCAAACCTAGACTCTTTGTTCTGAGCTACCCCCTAAGGTCTTGCAAAGGTGCTGAATTGCCCAGAGTGGGCTTGAACTTGTGATCCTTCTGCTCCAGCCTCCTTAGGATTACAGGTATACAGCATCATACGGTGCTACACAGTAATTTTAAAGTTTAACCCACATTATTATTTTCTCCATAGTTTCTTAAGTCTAGACACAGATTATAAGTCAAGCTCTGATTTGTAGGACTGGACAGTTTTTGTGGTATAAATACTCCTATAGTAGCTGATGTCACTCCTGGCAACAGATACACAGCCACTCTCATAGGGTATTTTTGCCATATGGATACTGCAAACAGAAGAGAACATATAATAATAGTAAACTTGGGGCTGAGGATTTAGCTCAGTGGTGTAAGTGCCTGCCTGGCAAGTGGGAGCTCGTGAGTTTGATCCCTGGCACAGCACACACACACACAAAAGTAAACTTAGTAAATAATGAGAAAGTGAATTTTGAGTATTCATTATCTTCTTTGAATATAACCTATCTACTTATAAGCCTATAAGTTTAATTTTTTAAAATGACCTGTGTTTAGCAGCCAATGTCGTAAGACATTGCTAATCTAGGTTAACATGCCTTGAGGAGAGGTGGAATCCCCTTCTTGCCACCACTCTATTCAGCTAGGATGATTCACCTCCTTTTCACAGGCATTCTTCTTTTTTTTAGATGCCAAAAGCAGAAATTCCCCGAGATCAAACCTGAAATTCCGCTTTGACAAGCTCAGCCATGCCAGTTCCAGTGGGGTAAGGACCACCAGGTGTGGGCAGCTCCTCACTCCAGGCTCTTCCTGAGCCAAGATGCTTTCCTGAAGGCTGCAAGGGGAGCACATCTCAGATATCACACGGGGGTCCCCTGAAGGAGGCAGCGAGAAGACAGCTCTGACAGATCTGGGGGTGATGCTTTCTGTCCCTGTGTGGTGGAGATACCTGCCAGGGGCTGACCTGCTGGCTTTGGCACTCTGAGTGCATCACAGCTACACCATTGGGCACAGCTGTGCCCACCTGTGAGTCATGATTTTGTAGCTCCCTGAGCTTTCTTGAGGTCACCAGATTGTTGAGAATTGAGTGCAGGGAAGCTGAGTATCAAGCAGATTATTGTCTGAGCATTTAAAACTCATACAGCTATTTCCCGAAACAGGGTCATTAATGTGAATGAAGAATTCTTCTCCTGTCCAAGGTGAGTGAGTGCTTGTCCTGGGGTGATCATCAAGGGAGAGCATGATATCAGGGGCCTTTTGACCTGAGAATGGCCAGAGAGACCCTGCCAACTGGGGGAGGGGTCCCCTGAAGCCTCCCCAGGTCTGTGGGGGAAAAAAGGGCTGATGCTGTGGGTGTGACAGAGAGTATTTCCTGTGGGATTGGGGAGGCTCGTTATGTATAGGTCTCCCCTCACTGGGTGACCCTGGTTCCAGCAGGCAGGAGAGGCAGCCCAGGGCCCACCTCCTTCTCTTTCCCTCCCTTCTTGTGTCTTTGATCAAGGCTGTAGGCTGAACTGTGCCCTCCTACATGCCAAAGTGTACCCCTGCCCCCAGGACTGTAAGAGCAGCCCCAGGGAGGCCTCTGCTCCTGGCCTCCACCCAGGGGGCTTGTGGTTCCAGCAGGACAGGACGAGTCCACTTGCTATTATGGCCAAAACTGCTCATGAAGTTAGGACTGTCTGACTCCCCCCTCATCCCACCAACTCTCCCTGTCTGGGACTCCCAGTGGTCTGGGACTCCCAGTCAGGTCCAAGGGGAAGGGTATGGCTGAGCTCACTTTATGTGAAATGGGTTATGAAAAAACAAGAGAAAATGGGATGTCTGCATTCACCTCCACCGTCCGTCATGGACTTTGTGTGCCTCTGTTTGCCCAGGTGTTGCTTATGCCCAACTTCTGGGACCATGTGAGTGAAGCTGGACTTCCTTGTGTTTGGCGTTCTCATCTGAGTGTAGTCACTGTGTGCCCAGCCCTTAGTCTCGAGTGTGTTTCCCCCTTTCTTTGCTCATTGTCCCCTTCCCTTCTCTTCCAGGGAAGCCCCGACTCTGTCTGGCAGAAGGCTCTTATTCCAGCAGCTTGGGGGTGCCGTCCACTACTCTGATCGTCACAGGCCCACCAGACCAGCTGTCTGTCCTGTGTCCTAACCTAGTGACAGTCCTGCTGGGTCCTTTGCCAACATACCTTCATCTCTGGACAAGACTTTTTCCCGGAGGCGATTCTGCTCCTGACCCTCGTGGTGTCTGTGTGGATCATCTGCCCACTTGTTTTGTCTGCAGGAAAGACAGTTGGGGATCAGGGGGCTGTAGGTACTGGGGCTCAGCCAGAGATGGGGGAGCTTGTCTGCTTCAGAGGCAGAGAGTGGTGGGTGGGGAGGAAAGGTGACAGCAGATAATAAGGTGGCCCCATCGGTCCTTGCTCACATGCAGTGCCCTCCTGGGCAGGGTAGGAAGGAGGTTTACCACCACCCGTGTGTGGAGCCGAGGTGCAGGGGCTGCGTCCCCAGAACCAAAATCTGTAGCGTCCTCCAGGCTGTCCTGATAGAAACAGCTCCTTTGATCCTGTTCCTCTGGAGCTCTGAAACATCTTCCTGCTCTGTGCTGAGTACTTTAGACCCATCTGTCGGCCCAGGCTGTGGGCTGCTCCATTCCGCTGTCTGCGTACCCGGAGCCAGACTCTCACAGATGGAGGCTCTAGACAGAGCTGGTGTGTCGGAGACCATTGCTGCTCACTTCCCCAACTAACTGGAACTTTCCATCCTGGTTAATTTCAGGCAGGTTCTGGTTATCCTAGCTGTGGAGAAGCCCCGGGAAGTCACTCCCCTTCAGGCAGATATTGTTTCCTGTGAAGGAGTGGGAAGTCAGGAGCAAGAAGGAATTCAGGGAAAATGAATGAGCCAGTGCTGGGAGGGGTCACTGCTCAATAACCTCAGGGCCCAGGGGCTCAGCCGGGCGCTGCGCGGATCCGGGTCTCAGGTTTGTAGAGGTTCAGGGAAGACATAAATGGTAAACCACTCATTTATCGAAGAGGGAAAAGGAACGAAGGGGGATGGCCTGGCAGGTTCTAGTCAGGCCAATGTGTTGGGGTTGAACTTAGGCATGTGGGGAGGGACATGATGTCCCCTATCAAGTGTCTGCGCTTTGCTGGGAAGTGGGCAGGGCTGCCTTGGGGGCCACGACTCACTTCTGTGCCCTTTGACTGTCTGGGGCATGATCCTCTGGCCCTTCACTTCCCTCTCCAACTGCAGGCCTGTAGGCGGCTGTCACATCAGTAGGACTCTTGCAAGCCGGGCACCATCTGGCTGTGGTTCAGACCCTGCACGCCACCTGCACCCCTTACCAGTGCCACCTTCTCCGGGATGATGAGCCAGTTGCCTGTCCAAGTCTGCAGGGCGTTTCTGTTCCTGGCTTAGGGTGGGGTGTCTGCCAAGTAAAACACAGAGTCTTACCAGCAGATCTCTGGAGGCTTTCCAGCCTCAAGTACATAGGTATCTTTGGGGCAGGGCTTCTGGGGTGCTGCAGGCCGGACTCCCTGCTTCCATGAACAGATGACAAGATTCCCAGTCAAATGCTTGTCTCTGTTCTGGGTCTGGACTAGCAAGCCAAAGCTTAGAAATGGGACATGTTTTTTTGGACTTATATTCTAACCATTTCTCCATTGCTTTTGCGAGTAGGGCAAACTTGATATTTTGTTTGCCTTTTTTTTTTTTTTTTCCTCTATGGGACACTGTTGTGATTGTTTGCCATTCTTATATTGGATCCTACTTTCAGCCCGGGGTGGGGGCACCCCTCCTGTCACTCCGTTTGAGAAATGTGCTTACATAGAGTACCAGTTTGGTCAGATTTATCTAGTTAGAAGGTCAACATAATATCTGCTTAGCTTTTATTAAATGTCAGTGTAGTGGCACCCGTTGCTGGATTCGGGCCTGCTGTTCTGGCAGTGTTCTGTCGGCTGGGTTTCTGAAGTAACTTAAAAGGTCAAGCTGTATTTTCTTTGAAAATTCTTACCGGGTTCTGGCTCACTAGTGGCTCTGAGAAGCCAGCGTGTAGAGATGGTCGGTGCTTGTGCTGTTGCGTTAAAGGTCTGGTGTCCTCTGGGCCTTCCCAGTTGTTCTCATGCTGTCTCATGCTGGGGAGTGTCATATTTTCCTGTTGCCGCTGCTCTGGCCGCTCTCTGTGCGGCCCCCACCTCCTGGTAGCACCTCTAGGCCAGTGGGCAGGATGGCAGAGTGTGTCCAGAGGAACCGGGAGGCACAAATGTGCCCCACAGAGGCGCAGACCTGGGGTGTGGTCTGCACTCTTGGTTTGCTGTTGGGGTGCTCAAGACAGGACCTGATATGCCCCCTTTCTCTGGGTCATGCCTCACCATCTCTAGCAAATCCATCCTGTGGTTTCCGTGTGTGCACTGCCAGCCTGCCTGGGGTCCCCATGCTGACAGGGAGGAGAATGAGGGTGAGGTCCTTTGTCCCTTCATTCTTCTGGGCTGTGGGCAGCATCTCACATTCCTAGAGGGCTTCAACCCCCATACTCTGATCCAAAATATCTTTCCTTTGATTGCTGCACTTAGTCATAGGGCTCAGGCCTGCATAGATGGTGCTCATAATTATATCTGGGGCATTTCCAATGTGACCTTCTCGAGAGGTTCATGTCTCTGCCCCTGAGGCCACTTTCCAGGCACAATGGGGCACCCAGATGCCTCCAGCTCCATCGATGTTTAAAAGCAGATTCAGAAAAGCTTGAGGTGCCAGGTCTTAGCCAGAGTTTCCGTCTTGGTAATGAATGTCAAGCAGTGTTTCCTGGAACATATTCAGTTTTGTGAGCATCATCCTGATGCCCAGACCTTCTGGCTTATTTTAGTGTCTCTCCTCTTGCCTGTTGTTGTCTAGATATAAAACCTTAGCTCCAGTGAGAAAAAAGAACTTGCTTGAGGTCACACAGCTAGCTAGTGGCACGACTTGGGCTGGAACCCAAGGCTTTTTCTTCTGCACCAGCTGCTTAGTTGGTAGAGCCAGTGACTTCATTTCCTGGGCCCGAGTTCCTCCCTCATTAGCAGGGGCCTCGTGGTCGTGGGACCTCAGGCTGTGCCGTTTTCCAGAGAGGGTGGGGGCTCTTTTAGATTGGTCACCAAAGGTCCTGGATTTGGGTTGCAACTTAAACAAAGAAAACAGGGAGGGAAGGGATTTCTGACAAATTACCCCTTAGTTCCTCAGGGGCAGAGGTCAGGGCAAAGGTGCGGTAGACGATTGGCCTCCTTGTTCTAAATTACAATGGAAGGTGGTAAAAAGAAACTATTCATTTTACCCTGATTCTCCTCCACTCCTTTCTGGTTCTGGGGAAGGAACTCAGGGCCTCATGCATGCTAGGCAAGGCCTCTACCACAGAGCTTTACCCCCAGCCTCTTCCTGATTCTAAAATGAAGGTGGATAATCAAAGTGGGATGTAACCTTTTCACTTTCCTTATCCTGACCCATGAAGGTGCCAGCTCAAACACTACCTTTTCCAGTGTATCTTAGTCAATAGAGACTGGTCTGTTGCTGGGGAGTAGAAGGGGGCTCAAGTAGATCTTATGGCTCAAAGGGATGGCAGGGACCAGGCCCGTCTGCCATACTGAGGACCTCATGGTTCCTACCCCAGTCTCCAGCTGCCCCCTTGTCAAAGGCAAGGATTGGTCACTGAAGTTTGCTGTGCTGTTCTTGTAGTCTGGTGAGAGGCACTGAGGGGCATTTTTCTTCCAAGCCTCTTTGCCATTAGTCCCTTTCCATCCAACCTCACATCCCTCTCCTTTCAGAGGGCCAAGTGCTCCCTTGGGAAGAAGACAAGTCCCCGAGGGTGGAGGACAGCAGAGCCCTGTCTGGTGAGAGGCTGGCAGGTAGAGCTCTGTCCTTTGCCTTCCCAGCCCAGGGGAGAGGGTGCTTGGTTGACAGGCTGGAACCTCATTGCCATCCTTTTTGATTTTGTGACATTTCTGCTTAGACGGGTGAAACTCCTCTTCCTCCTCGTTAGCATGTGTGCCAACTCTCCCTTGTCGTGGGTGTTACCTTCTAACACTCCAGCTGGGGGAGTGCTACTGTCTCTGTGTGAAGAGATTCCTGTGTGATAGAACCCAAGAAGTGTAGCTTGGAAGTGATCCCTGTGACGATGACTTTTCCTTCTTCCTCTTAGTGAGGAGGTGAATCGTAGACCCTGACTGCCTATGTAATGTAAATAGTGTATATTTAATTTATTGCTATGGTAGCACACTGTATTTGTTAATGTATAAAACAAATTCTAAAAGGTTGACAAATGTATATTTTGTTGCTTAAATGTGTCTTTGCAGAAATTGACATTAAATAACATATTTTGTGTCCATCAGTGTTAAGACTTCTTTGCATGGGGCTGTAGGTTGGGGGAATCACCTTTCAGTGTACTAAAGGTTGCGTATTAGCTGACCTGCAACTGCTACCTTGGCTTGAGCAGCATTTAAAGAGTTTATAACAAACCATCAATGTTTAAAGAACTCACAACTTGAAAAAAAAAAACACTTAGAAATTTCACATAAAAATTTCAATTTTGGGCTGGGGATTTAGCTCAGTGGTATAAGCACCTGCCTGGCAAGCACAAGGTCGAGAGTTCAATCCCTGGTAAAAAACCCCCCCCCCCCCTTCAATTTTCTGTGCTCAGAAAGATAATTAGATGCTAAATTTCCTCAAGCATGAGTTGGACTGAGCTCACTGGAGTCTGTCCCTTTGGGTGAGACCTGAGTATATCACAGTCCCTGCTACTCCCTCTCATTCACCTCTGAAGCACTTTACTCCTTCCTGTTACTTGTTTAGCTTTTGTAGACATGAGTGTGAGACTCTTTGTATTCACTAATTGGTCTCCATTCTGTAATTTTCTTTTTCTGACCCCCTTCTTCCTCACATTCCTAATTCAATTCTTTCATGACTAAAATACGCTCTCTTCCTGCTTTGACTCTCCTGGTCCTGGTCTTTCATCCATGTTGTTGTACCCGGTTTGGATGCAGATTCAGAATTAATACCTATATATTTTTTCTTAACAAGTTTGAAGGCAAGAAATAGATTTTTAGGTATCTGTCAAGGCTGGGTTTTGTGATCTTGGGAAAACTATGGACCTTCTCATGGTTTACATTCTTGTAAATATAATAATGTAATATAATTCACGCATAGAGCATGAGGATATAGATGAATTTATAATTGGCAAAGAGCTTTGCAAAAATGACAAGTCTTCTTCACTAGAGGTTAGATAATAATAATATCAATAGTAGCAGCTGATGTTGCAATTTGACCATACGCTAATTTTTTTATATGTGTGGTCAGTTTTTTTATGAAATACAACATACCTGTTCCTAAAACACAGTGCCATGTGAAATTGTGCAATAATAGGGTTTTTTTTGGGGAGGGGAATTAGGTTAGGTACTGTTTTAGTTACTTTTTTTGTTGCTGAGATAAAATACCTGACACCCAAAGTTAGAGGAAGAGATACTTATTTAGCTCATAGTTTGTAAAGATTTCAGTCCATAATGGGCTGTCCATCCAAGGCAAGATGGCATGGCAGACAGGCAATGCAGAAGAGAAACAGTTCTAGACAGAAGGTAAGAAACCAACAAGGGATGACTAGAGTCCTTTCTACCCCCTAAATTTTATCCAGGGTGGGTAGCATTCACATCCTCAACCTGGATCTCCTCAGGGCCGGAGGTCTCCTCAGTGGGCATTGCTACCCCGGGGCGTATACTCTGGCTTTTAGGAAATCTTTGATCTTGCTGTTCCTTTTCAGTGTCCCGATCAATTCTCTGTTCACTAACATTGTATTGGGATCTGCTAACATTATATTGGGAAGTGACCCGGGAGGTAAGGGGACAAATTCTTTCCTTCTTGACTTTTGGGTGTTGGGTATGTTGTCCCAGCAAGAGAAAAGTAAGATAATTCCTGAGCCAGAGAGTGATTTTACTGAGGATCTCCTCTTAGTCCATCACATGTCTCTCAGGGTACCAAGGGTGACTCTCTCAACTTTGCCTTATAGTCTCAAGGTCAGTGTACTGGTACCACTTTCCACAAGTCACTCAGAAACCTCATCTGCAGCCAGCTCCCCAGAGAAACCTAAAGCCCTCAGCCTTCTCCTTCAAAGATAGCCTCAAACCCCACTGACTGTAGCCTCTTATCTCCCAGTTCACAACCTGGCCTGCTTTTGGGAGAGATCCCGCAGTGGAAGGAATTGTCTCAGTCTCCTTTTCAGCTGCAGATACCCAACAATACAAGGAGCACTCAGGCTAATTTTCTGACGATTCTTCTAGGTGCACAGAACAGTTTCAGACTTTATCCTCGGCTGTTGTTCTGTTTTGGCATGATGTAAATTTGTTTCAGCCACCTGCTGCACCCCAACTGAGAAACAAAGACTATTAGAAACAGCCCAGTGCCGCGACAGTGAAGTATTTGCTAACAGTGCAGAGAGAAATCAGCCCAAGCAAGGGCACAGTGCCTGCCTTGGAGCCCAACGGGGGTTACAATACAGTGGGAGGAAGGATGCAAAGGGCCAAAATCATCCAGCCCTTGTCACAGACACAAAGAACGAGCAGCGCAAAACCAAGTAAATGAGAAGAATCAGAGAGGTTGTCCAAGAAAAAGAAAACCCAGCCATGGGGCTGGGGATTTAGCTCAGCGGCATAAGCGCCTTCCTTGCAAGTGTGTGGTCATGAGTTCGATCCCTGGTACCACAAAAAACAAAAAACCCCACAAAAAAACCCAGCCATCCTTCAGAGCTGGCTAGAGGACGCTTTTTAAAACATGATTCCCTCATAGGAGGGAAGGGCTCTCACATGAGGGACAACATTACATAAGTTACTTCACCCCATGTTTAGTAGAAGCTACAAAGTTACAAATGGGACCCAGAGATTGGTCCAAGAGCTGGCTATGACCTTTTCTGTTTTCAACAACTGGGATCTAGAAGAGGAAAAGGGAGAGAGGAGCCAAAATCAGAGGCAGGCAAAACTGGTATTTGTTGCAATTAGCCAGACCCAAAGCCCAAGCTGTCCAAAGATAAAACTTGGGGCAAGAACAAGGCTCTGGCTTTTTCTTTTTTTCTTTTGGTACCAGGGATTGAACTCATGAATTCATGACCTTGTGCTTGCCAGGCACTTATGTTGCTGAGTTAAATTCCCGGCTCAAGGCTCTGGCTTTAAACATAAGAAGACTGGTCCCTGGGCTTGAGACGGTTCAATCGGAACACACTGGCCTAACCCAGTAGGTCGAGATGCTGCTTTTCACTTAGGCAATTGGAGGATCAATGCTCCAGTCCCCAGAGAGGGATGCAACCAACCAAAACTCTAAAGGGAACTCAGTGTGGACAGCACTGAGGGAGCCTGGGGCAGTCTGCAGTGTCCAGTCTGAAAACATCTCCATCACCTCCAATGAACTCTGGGGAGCCATGGGCATCATAGGTGAGCAAACCTGTTTCCTCATTTATGGGGGCAGCTTACATGTTTTAACCAAACTCTCCTGTAAGTCTGGAGCCGTCATTGTGGAGGAAGGAAACCTCAGGCAGTTTCTTTACTCCTGCTTTGACCTGCCACCTGGAAGATCAAGCGTTTAACCAGGAATTCTTAATTGTCCCATGACACCCTACTCCCCTATGGGAGGAGACTTATTAAAAGTAGGGGCTGCTCTTCAATACTGGCAGAGGTGAAAGCGAGTTCTGCCTTTTGAGACTGTGTAAAAGCTCCCTAGATGGCTTAGTCACACGTAGATCCTGCTGCCTGGCACCACAGAATCCCCAGAAGTGCAAAATCAGCACCACTCATAGTTAAAGCTAGAAGATCCCAGCCGATTTCCCCCCTGAAGACAATAATATCCTGTCAAAGAACAGCACATACAAGTCTGCAGCCTCGCAGACGGATTTCCTAAATGTGGGCTTCTTGGACTTTCTCAGTCTCCCTGCAACATCCGCATTCTCCCGGAGGTCAAAGCCTGGGTGTGGAAGACCTCCGGCTCCTCACCGAGGCAGTAACTCTACCCCACCCTCTAGCGGCAGATCCAAACACTGCACAATTCTTTCCCAGATTCCAGGAGACTCCATTGGTTGGTTCTCCGCCTTGGACCTTAAGAAGGCTCCCCGCTACTTCCCTATTACCCAAACTACACCCCATATTATCAAATCCTACACACTGGTGCACCAACCCTTAGGTCAGTCAGGGTGAGAGTTCCACAATCTGTAGGCGGGAACAGTGTCCCTCTCTGCCGGAAGCAGTTTCAGAAGAGACCTGCAGTCCCCTGGCATCTCAGAGTGACTGATGAGGATTATGTCTCTCACGGTAGGTAAAGGCAGGTAGGGAAAGGCTGGTGGGCTGCATTCGCTCTCTGAGTTAAACTTTAACCCAGATCCAAGATATTCAGGTTTAAATACAAAAAGAGAAAGTCACCAGCTAACCCAGCTCACACACAGTCTATAGAGGTGCACACAGTGTCTTCAGCCACCTTTAGCCAAACCTGGACCCACTTGCCATGCCTAACATTAGCAAGGCAGTTGCAAGCTCCCCATCCCCACCCCACCATGGGCTTTGGGCACCACTCCAAGGGTTAGTGAAAAAATGCATCACCCAAATAACTGACAGAGTCCCTGCTCATCAGTAAGAGTAAAGTCCCAGACCAATCTCTCAGTTCTGCCTCAAATCCTCATGTTTATTTTGTTTACTGATTTTTTTTTGTCTTTTTTTTTTTTTAAGACAGGGTCTCGGGGGCTGGGGATTTAGCTCAGTAGCATAAGCACCTGCCTTGCAAGCAGGCGGTTGTGAGTTCAATTCCCGGTACCGGTAAAAAAAAAAAAAAAAAAAAAAAAAAGACAGGGTCTCTATGCAGTTTGGGCAGGCCTTGAGCTCACTTTGTAGTGCAGGCTGGTCTCGAACTCGCAAGGATCCTCCTGCCTCAGCCTCCTGAGTGCTGGGATTACAGGTGTGAGCCACCATGCCCGCTTTGTTTACTGATTTTTGAGACAGTGTTTTACTATGTAGTTCAGACAGGCCTTGGACTCACAATGTAGCCCAGGCTGGCCTTAAACTCACAGCAACCCTCCTGCTCAGCCTCCTGAGTTCTGTGTCTATAGGGGTGCACTGCCATACCTGACTCTACCCTAATGTCTAAATTCTTCAACATCAAACCTCCTCAGGACTGTGAACTCTTCTCCTTATGGAGGGTTCTTTTGCTTTCAATAAACCCTTGATCTTAGTGCTCCTTTTGGGCGTGTCCTGACAAGATCCCCACTGTGGCAGCAGTGAGACAGAGGTCAATTTACAAAACTCAGTTAGATTCTTATATTCTTAGTGACATGTAGCTAGGAAAAAAAAATCAATGGAAAAGTACTTTAACCTTAGTAGTAACAAAACACACTAAATATGAAACATTAATTTAGACCATTAAAATTTGTAAAAATATTAGCCAGGCGTGGTGATGCACACTTGTAATCCCAGCACTCAGGAGGCTGAAGCAGGAGTATCCTTACAAGTTTGAGACCAGCCTGGGCTCTAAAGTGAGCTCAAGGCCAGCCTGAACTGCCCAGTGAGACCCTGTCTCAAAAAAACAAAAATTAAACAAATTTTTAAAAAATCAAATGCCAATATAAAACTCAGTATCTTTTAAAATTAACTAATAAAATATAGGGAAAATAGAGAAAGGTGTTATTGAAACAAAACACAAATACCCTTGAGCATGGAAACAAATAATGAAATAGATTATGACACACTGGAGAAACAGGAATCCATGAGTCCACAGAGAGGGGATGAGGGGCCTGGCATGTAGCTCAGTGGCGGAGCACATTGTTAGTATGCACGGTTGATCCCCAGGACCAAAACTCAACCTACCAACAAGGAGTAAAGAGCAACACAGAAAAAAAATGTAGTCTCCATAGCACTGCAAAATAAATACATAAGCCAGGTATGCAAACCTATAAACCTAGCACTCTGGGAAACTGAGGTAGGAGGATCACAAGTTTAAACCCAGCCTGGGTAATTTAGTGACTTACTGAGGTCCTGTCTCAAAAATTAAAGGACTGGGGATGTGGTTTAGTGCAAAAGACCTGGGTTCAATCCCAGTACCTTGAAGACAAAAATGGTTTGAAATACCACCTCAGGCCTATTAAATGAATGCAGAGTACTCTTCACATTGACCAGGGATAAGGAGAAACAGGCATGCTCAGGCCTCAGGAGGGTGGGAGACACAGAGGACAGTCCAGATGATGCCAGAAAAGGGGGCTGGACCCCAAAGGTCAGTGATTCTGAGACACACACACACCAGAGGCCAGTGCTCTGCTGGTACCTAGGCTGGGAGCAGAGGCCAAGGGACAGGGAGTGGGTCCAGGGGAGAGAGGGCCCTGAGCGAGGTTCAGCCTGGCGGGGGCTGTCCAGACTCCTCTCTCCACCTCTGACTCCAGCTCCACACACCCTCACCTTTCCACCAGCAGGGGCTTCCCATGGGGTCCACTCTGCATGCACCAGCTCAGCAGTGGGCCCTGCAGAATCCACTGGGAGCCAGGACTGAGCACCTGCCCCAGGACCCTGCCAGGTGGGCTGAGTTTGTGGGCAGAGGGAACCCTAAATGGGAGCAGTGACTGGGGTGAGGGTTGGGGACAGTCCTGGGGCCTGAGATTCTCACACCGGAAACAGTAGTAGGTGGACAGAGGCCCAACAGCTCTCACTGATCATAGCCACATGGTGAACACTGTCAAGGGCAAGATGTGGACGGTAAGCCACAGAAATCTCGTTCAGGGCCAGTTAGCTTTCTTTTCCTACAAGGAATCTAAATATCTTTTTTCTTTTTTTCCTCCTTTTTTTTTTTTTTTTTTTTTTTTTGAGACAAGGTCTCCTATTGGAGTTTAGGCTGGCCTTGAACTCACTATGTAGGCTGGCCTCCAACTTGAGGTGATCCTCCTGCTTCAGCCTCCTGAGTACTGGGATTATAGGGATGCACCACTGTGCCCAGCTGAAATTTCTACATCGACAATAATGTTTGGCAGTTTTTGTTTTGAAATAGAGACTTTCTGAGTAAGGGCAGGCCTCTGAACTGTGGGCTCACCATGCATGAGGACATCTAGAGCCAGTGGTTACCCCTGTACCAACTAAGGGCCCACGACCTGACCCAGTTACCTAGGCAAGAATCACAGGGCTCCAGTGAAATTCTGCAGAGGCCAGGAAGCTGCCCCACCCGTCCTGCCCCATCCTCCAGGCTTCTTGCTGATGGGCTCATTTCCAGCTCCCCAGAGCTGCCTGGCCCCTCTGCTTAGCTGGCCCTGCTTCTGGCCTGGTCAGTCTCTCCCTGCCTCCCTGCCGTCCCTCCTGCCAGGGGGCAGGTCCTCAAGGGCACCCGTCCTTCCCTCCTGCCACATTCCACTGAAACAAAACAAAATACCTTTGAGCATTGGAACAGATAATGAAATAGATTATAACACACTGGAGAAATAAGAATGTGTGTCCACTGTGAGGGGTGAGGGGACGAGGGGCCTGGGGTGCAGCTCAATGGCAGAGCGTTCCAGCTTGAGCAGGACCCCATTCCAGCCTGAGCCCCAGTGTCACCTCTGGCCAGGACGGCCCTTCCCTGAGCACAGGGGACTCCCTGTCCTCATGCTCCAAGGGACACCTGGACGAGACTGGCCTGCGCTGCCCACAGGTGTGTTGCTGATCTCCATCCCAGAGTGGAAAGCGCTTCCCAGAAGCTGGGGGAGCTGCTCAAAGCCACCGACTGTCCCTGTCCCGCAGGCCTGGTGACTGCCTGCACAGCAAGGTGACAGGAGGCAATAATAGGTAGTGTATACTTCAGACTTGCTAAAGGAGGGATTTTCAGTGTTTTCCCCCAAAAGGAAATGGCAAATCTGTGATGCATGGTGAGCGTATCCAGAAAGCCAGATTGTGCTCGTGGTCACACTGGCTTATAGCACTTCCTGTGCTTCAGGTGGGGCAGTGAGGGCTTTACACATACCACCCGCATCACCCCCACTTTACAGATGAGGGGACTGAGGCACAGAGATGCTCAGTAACTTCAGAAAATTAGATTCTGGGGCTGGGTCTCAAACCTGAACCTGAGGTAGAACCCCAGTTCCCAACATGACAGCCAGCCTGGCCTGAACTGGGGTGTTGAAGAAGGCAGAGGGGAGCATGGCACAGACAGTAAAAGGTTGCTGGTGCCCACCGTGGCCACAGGGCCTGTGGCTGGAAAGACTGGCAGTGGGGCCAGGGGAGGTGCAGCAGCTGGAGGATGTGGTCAGAGCTCCGGTGGACAGGCCAGGTTGTCAGAGAATAATCAGTGTGTTCGACCCCAGCGCCACACAGCCTGGCCCGCCCAGGATTACAGAACAGAGCAGCCAAGAATTGCGAGCGACTCCTGGGCCTACTTAACCACTATCCGAACAGGAAGTAGAGAGGCAGAATGCAGGTGAGCTCCCAGGCGCCCCCTCAGCTCCACTCGGGTCCTGCAGGCCCTTGGTGCCTTCCGCGGAGGCGGTGCCCGTTTCCCCAGCACCACCAAGGCTCAGGGAGACAGAAGAAGCCTCTGTCTTGAGCTTTCTCTGCCTCTCTGACTTTCAAAGTGCCTGGGCTCCCCAAATGCAGGCAGCTTAGCACACAGCTTTTGACCCAGACAGGCCAGTTTCAAATCATAGCTCCTCCACTGTCTGGGGGACCCCAGCACAAGCCGCCTCACCTGTCAGACCCTCCGGGGTGAAAAGGATGAAAGGAAGTGGGGGACACGAAGGCAGCGGCAGGTGAGGGAGGGGACGGCTCCTCGCTTTCCCTCTTGCTTTCTGTTCATAGATGTCCCCAGGGGCAGCAGAAAGGCCCTGTGCCTGGAAGGTCCCAGCCACAGGATGGCCCAGGGGATGCTCCTGGGACTGGAGGCAGCAGGGATGTCTGCAGGATCCCAGAGTGGGGGAGCTAAGGAAAAAATGCAACAGACACGGTCTTGCATATCTATCTCATTTCCGGTCCTCTAAGCAGTCCCAGAGATAAAGGTTACGATTTCTATTTTATAGCTAAGCAAACTGAAGTCCATCCTTCACAACTGCACCTTTAAAAATAATCTGCACTGTCACTGCTTTCAGGAAGGTCTCTGTCCTTGCCGGAACCAACAGCCCATATGGGAAGTGTGAAATTATAAAAATAGTTCATCTCAAAGAGGGCAGACATGTGCTGGGGGGGGGGGTGGTTTCCAGCCGGGGCGCTCACTTGCCCTTCTCTTCCCATACCTTCACAGCACAGAGCCACTTAGCACCCTGTGAAAATGCCATCACTGCCCTTGGGTCTGTGCCTGTGCCTCATGTATGGCAGGCAGTGAAGGGCAGATGTTGGGTGGCTGAGGGGACAGAGGCACAGGCTGGGGAAGAGGCTGAAAATGGATGAGGATGGGTGCGCAGATCCTCAGTGGGCAGGTGGGAGGACAGGCAGGTGGGTGGCCGGGTGGCTGGGTGGAGAGACAAGCAGGTGGAGAGCTGGACGTACGACTGGGCAGAGGGATGGCAAGCATCTAGATGAATGGATAAATGGGTACATAAACGGACACCGCCTCATCTGCTTTCCTCTATGCTGGGACAAAATACCCAACACCAACACCTTAAAGGAGGAGAGGTTTATTTGGTCTGCAGTTGAGAATTTCTAGTCCATGTCTAACTGGGTCCAAGGTAGGAATCAACAGCTCAGAGGGGTGTGGCGGAGGAAGAGCTGCTCACATCATGGCAGCTGGGAAGTAGGGAGGGAGAGTGGGCAGGATGAACAGATGCAGCTTGAGCAGACAGACCTCAGCTCCTCATGTGAAAGAGAGCTCCACCAGAGCCTCATCAATGTAGAATGCACTTGCCGGGGGTGCAGGAAGTCCCTGTCTCTTGCAGGGCTATTCTGAAATGACACAAGCAGTGGCTGGAAGGTCTCTTTCAGATTTTGTTTTGGTGCAAACCAGGCCTCTGTCTATCTTGTCCAGCCGCTGGCCCTGGGCTAAGACAGTGCTCCCAAAGGCCTGTATGCAATTGGTAAAGGCTCCTGGGAGAAGCTGGTGGTCTTCTCTGAGCTCTGTGCCTGTAAGTGGTCAGCAAGTGAGATGGGCTGGAATCGAAGTCTTGGGTGTAAAGACCAGGGGTCTCTGTATCTATAGTTTGGCTATGGCTACATGGAGGACTGCTGCCCTGAGGGCTCACTGGGATACAAACTTTTGGGTTCTAGGATGCCCTGCTCCCTGTGTCCTCAAAAGCACAAAAGTTATGTCCCTAAGCATGATAGGTTGCAGGGAATTGGTGACTCTAAGCTGTGGTTCCTGGGGGGAATCACAATACGTTGGAAGTGGGAAACAGAAAGGGGTGGGTGGGTACCAACAGCCCCTGGATGAAACCCCAACAAGATCCACTAGGGACAGCCAGCGGTCAGAAGACCAGCACATCCAAGCAATGACAGCTTCAGCAGGCTCTGGGCCGCCCAGGGAGCAGGCGCAGGGTGGCTCTCAGGCAATGGCTGGCAGGTGGACAGCAGCATCCCAGAAAGACGAGGGCGACATTCTCCAAGCAAGATGCCCAAGGCAACCCGGCAGCGTCCCTGAACCTCAGCGCTGCAGGGGCTAAATGACACCTGATTCAGGTTCAGGGCTTCTCCTTGTGTAAACTTCTCTAATGGGCAGTGAGACACAGCATTAGGGCAGAAAAAGAGGAGCAGGAGCAAAAGTCAGTGAGGAAGAGTGGGGTGGAGGCCTGGGCCTTGGACTTTGTTCCCCTGGCTCTTTATCTGCATTTGGAGGTCAGGTGGGCATCTCAGCATCGCTGGGTCCTTATTCCAGCCCTGTTCGGTCTTCCCCACCAGCAGACAGAAACCTGTCTCCAGATTCTTTCCTGACCTCTTTTCTGCTTCTATTCACTTCTGTTTGCAAAACTCAGCCACTGCCCCACTGCCATCCCCTGCTGCATGCCACCAGCATCAGTCCTGCCATGGTCTCCTTCTCCCCCCAGGCCTGCTGTCGCCTCATAGCAGCCAGGCCTCAGTCAGCTGGTGGCTCCCTGGGGGCCACCTTACTCAGACCAAGAGCCCACACCCTCTGGGAGCACCTACAGAACCCCCCTCAGCTTCTTCCCTGCTGCGGCTCTGCCTGCTGGCCTGCTCTGCTCTGCCCGGTGGGTAGCCCTCACTCCTTCCTGGGTCCTGGGGAGCCCCACCAATACCAAAAAGTCACTGGGTCCTGCTTAAATGACCACACGCGACATCACCCTGAGCAGGCAATGCTCATTTACTACGTCGGGTTTACTCTTTTCCTGTCAAGCCTCCTGCCCTCACCAGCATGTAAGCTCCAGGTCCCATCACCCAGTATCTGCAAAAGGGCTGGCACAGAGTGGGAACAAACAAGGTAAATGGAATAAAAAACGTTCAGCTGGAGAGCCGATGATAAAAGCAGTCTATAAAAATTCGGGGCTGAGCAAGGAGGCTGGTGAGCTCAGCCCGATCACACTGCTTCCAGGCCAGTGGATGTGTCCCCTCCCTCCAGCCCCAGGTCTGCCTCTGTTCAGCTCCAGCCAGGTGCCAGTGCCCCGTGTGCCCCCAGCCTGGTGGGATGCTCAGCAGAGGAGGGGAGGAATTCCCCACACACTCCAGGGCCGCAGATCCACATGAATGGGCCCCAGAACACCTGTACTCCTGCCTGCACCAAGCTGCGGGGCACAAGCACTCGGGGGCCTGACTCTGCACCTCCGAGCTGGCATGGAACTCCTCGGATGGTGGAGCTCTGACCTGAAGGAGGAGGAGCTTCTCAGCACCACCCTCCCCGGTCCCAGGATCATGGCCAGCACCCCCTGCCACCAGCCCAGGCCCAGTGCTCCTCCCCCTGTGCAGCTCCTTCTACTTGGCGGCCTCTTCCATTTCCCTTCTGGTGCTGGTGAAAGTTTCTGGCCTCTGACCCGGGCTGGGTCTGCAGGCTGCTCTGCCTGCCTAGCCCGGTGACCCTGTGCCCTTCAGCACTCATGCGGAAAGGTGGGAGAGCAGCTGGATAGGAGGCTCACACCTGTATTCCAGCACTCCAGGAGGCCGAGGCAGGAGAAACACAGCCTGAGCCCAGCCTGGGCAACTTAGGGACTTAGTGAGACTCTGTCTCACATTAAAACTTTATAAGGGGCCTGGGGATGTGAAAATCCTGAATTCAGTCCTTAGTACACACACACACACACACACACACACACACACACACACACACAGAAAAAAAGAAAAAGAAAAAAAAGTGTCATTCCACAAGCCATACACTCCAAGAGAGCTCATGGATGCTTCAATGTTCTCCACCCACGGAACCCCCTCTGAGAGTACCTCTTGATGAAGGCCTGAACTCCCCCAAAGTGGGCCAGTGTGTCCCCCATTCAAATCCCAACAAAGAAGGCAGTCCACACCCTACCCCCCCCAGTCCCCCCAACCCTGGCACCTCCTCCTGCTCTGGACCCCAGGGCCTTGGGAATACACTGTCATTTAGTGAGGTTTGGCCAGGTGGCCTCAGGCTGCATGGAAGCTGTCTGAGGAGACACAAGTCCCCCTCCCCCCCCATCACGGGTCTGAGGGACCCCGGAGCGCTGGGCTCCCAGCCAGGATTGGCCCTGTCCCCCAATCCAGGTCCCCAGAGCATGGTGCCTCAGGCTCACCCTCTGCCCCAAAAGAATGCTGCCTTTTCTGGGCCCCCACGATGACCTGCAAGCCCGTGAGCACAGGAATGCGGAGAGGTGGAAACGCAGGCATGAGAACGTCTCTGTGTGCCCATTTTTGCTCCACTCTCCCCAGCAGGTCACGGGCACATCTGCTTTTCTGCCAGGCCCTGGGCTTTCCTTCTGTTTGGCCAGCACCGCCATTCTGTACTGGGTCTCTGTAGGGTGGAGACAAGGAGAGGGCATGTTCTCTACAGACCTTTCTTACACTCTGCCTCAGGATGGGCTTGGTGGCCAGAATCAGCCTCCTCTTACCAAGTGTCACAGCCCTGAGGTGTCTTCCCAGCCCCTTCTCTATTTGCATACTTGGTGTGGCTGCCTGGGTCTTCTCCCCCCTAGGAGAGCAGCTGGTCTGGCCTCTGCCTTCCCTGCTTTCTCCGCTGGCCACAGATGTGGGGGACACAGTCCTCTCTTCTTTAGCATCCAATCTCTGCCCCTTCTGAGCAGAATCCAGCTGTACCTCTGGGTTCTCCTTCTCCAGAAGTTCCTGTATCTCCGAAGGCTGCCGGGCTGGCTTCTGACTTGGGCTGGCTCTCTGTTCATTACAGCAGCCCATCCCTTTGCTGGGCCAAACACCCAGGCTTCAGCCAAGTGGCATCGGTGTTTCCTAATAGCTGTCAGCAATCTTGAGGAGCAGGAGCTCGGGCGCCCAAGGGGAGACCTTGTGTCACCTGCTCTCCATGTAAACAAGGAAGCATACTGCCTGGTTGCTTCCAGCCATGTCCAGGAAAAGCTGCAAAAGAGGGAGAAATTATGGGCCGGGTTCAGGTTAGCTGAAGCTGGTTACTCCCCTAAATGACACCCTATTTTGGAAGCCACAGAACCACTCTATTCTGAGTAGGAAAGACAGCCTTGTGACTCAGGGGAAAGGGCACTGTGTTAATCATGACAGAGACCTGCGAGTACTTGGTTTCCTATTTTCTAGAAAGCAGGATGGTCTTCAACCCAGAAAGAGAAGATGAATATATAACAAGGAGGAGTGGACCAAGGTATCTCCAACTGATTGACAGATTGATTGACTGACTGATTTTCTGAGGTTGGGGATTGAACCCAGGGCCAGCGGCATGCTGAGCTCATGTTCCAGCCCTGAGCAACACACCAGCCTTTCTGGCTGTTTTAGTGTCTTCCATTTTGCCACAGTTGAAAGGGAGAAGAGAGGCTGACAGATCAGAGTGGGCGAGGAGGGAAGGCTGCAAACACCAGGGATTGTCCCAGTTCTCAATCTTAATCCCCAGCAACTCCCTAGCCCAGAGCAGCCTGCCAAACACGCTGTCTGAGTGTTTCAGAAATAACAGCACGAGCAGGAGCAATTCTGTGCGTTCTGTCTGTGAAGCCATTCGGTGAAGCCCTTCCAGGCTTAACTCAGCCAAGCACCAAGGAATGGGGCTATTCTTACCCCCCACTTTGTGGAGGAGAAGGGAAAGAGCTAGAGCAGTTAGAAAAACAGCCGATGTCAGAAGCCAGCGTGGCTCAGGGCGCTTTACGCCCTTGGCATGGTACAGCTCCCAGAGTCAGGACAGTGGGGTCCCTTCCAAGCTCTGCGTTCCTTACAAGGAACATTCTCATCACACTGTATTGTCTTTCTCCTTTTGATTCCTAGGTCACTAAATTAGAGGAAAACCATATGTATATATAATTGACTCAGGTGCATACTTGATTTGAATTTCTTGCATTTTAAACTAATTTCCTCCTTTTCTTGCTCCAGGATCCCACCCAGGACACCATGTTACATTTAGTCTCCTGGCTCCTTTGGCTGCCCTCAGCTGTGACAGCTCTTTAAAGTGGTAGCAGCAAATGCCTCTGAGCAAGCAGCCAAGGGGAACCGCAGCACACACTTCCTAGGACAGGGACCCAAGTCTTCAAACCTGACAACTGTCTCACTCCCTTCCACCTACCGCCCTCAGGGATTCCCCCGGTCTGGCTCAGGGGCACCAGCAGGGGTCACCATCCCCTCCCACTTGTTACGTGACAGGAGGTACAAAACCCCAGCGGGGCACACACAACACGCCTGCGTCTTGGTCTCTACTGGGTGCGGTGGTGACTGGGTCCATCTGACAGCTCCCAGCCCCGGCCCTCGAGGGGATCTGCAGACCGCTCGGAGGGCGCCGCACCGCCAGGAAGCGCAGGGGGCAGGGACGCATAACGCGGGCCACACGGGGCACGGCGTGGAGAGGCCGGGTACGCGCGGGCGGGAACACCCGGAGTTCATCGCCCACGGCCTCGGGGCAGGGAGGGACGGGGTCCGCAGGGCCGATCCCTCCCGGAAGGGTGGCGGGGGAGGGGACGCGGCGCGGCCGCCTTACCTCCTCGCCGCGGCCGAAGCGCAGTCCGAGCGCCGCGATGCGCTCCATGCGCAGGAAGCCGTCGGGGTCGCGGCCGCACACCTCGAACACCTCGCGCAGGCGGCGCACGGAGCGCAGCAGAGCCGCGGGGGCGCCCGCCCAGCCCGCGCCGCCCGCCATCCGCGCCGGGCCCGCAGCTACCGCGAGCCCCGCGCCGCGCGCCGCGTCCGCCGCCGCCCGCGCCGCGCCGCCACCGCCATCGCCGCGCCCGCCGCCGCCGCCGCCCGGGTGTGCCACGCGCGACCGCTTGGTGTCAGCTGCGGCGCCGGGGCGGGGGAGGGGCGGCGGCGGCGGGGACGCGGAGACAAAAGGAGCCGCGCGCCTCCCGCGTGGGGCCGCCCACGCCGCGCACGACCGCCCCCCTGCGGACTCAGTTTCCCTCCGCGTGACCGCGCGCGCCCCTCTCCCCGCCGAGCCGGGAGCGGGGGCGCCGCGCCGCCGCCGAGCTCAGCGAGGGCCCCGAAATCCGGAGCCGCCCCAGGCCCCGCCCTCCCGGGAGGAGTCGCGATTTGGAGACCCGGGCCCGCGCCCGCTCCCGCCATCCGGCCTGGGGGCTCGGTCCCAGCACCTGGAGGCCCCGTCCTCCCTTTGTCAGCACCTGTCGTTTTCGGAGCGCTCAGCGGCTTCCCAGGTTGCTAACATTCAACTCCGAGGAGGAGGCTGAGCCCCGCCCCAAAGGCTGGATTACTTACTCCGGGCCACACAGCTTGTGCGAGTCAGGACCCGGATTCCTACTCACTCCTCGGTGCATCGCGACTCCATTCTGCCAGGCTCCTTGCTGCTCCGAAAAGCACAGTCTACCGGCACCGCTCCGCCGCGCGGGTCCCCAACGTCCTCTCCACAGCACGCGTGGAGCCAGCTAGGGCGGGCGACCAACGCAGGGACACCGAAAGGCAAAGAGAGGGAAGACTGGGGCAGCAGGAGAAAGAAAAAAGAGGCACTCCTAATGGCCTCCTTGGGGCTTAGGGACACCCACACTTTGGGGAGGCCCCCTCCCTTGAAACCTTGCACCCCCAAACTCAGTACTAGGACAGGAGCTTCGCCCTGAGTGTTGGTGGCAGTGCCTGACCTGAGACTCCTTCTAGTAGTGTACAGGGAGCCTCAGGGCAGCTCTCACACAGGTTCCCGAGCCTGCTGCCCAGCTCTGAGGACTCAGGCCGCTCCATGGTCCCTTGCTTAGCAGGACAGGCCTCGTGGGGAACAGTCAGCCCCAAGCCCAGCCACTGCTGCCCAGGCCTTCCGCTTCCCAGATGTGTGCTCCTCCAGGAAGCCTTCCCTGGCACCCCACCATGCCTCCTAGTCTGAGTTCCAGGAGACCCCAGCCCAGAGCAGATGCCTGTCTTAATGGCCTGCAAGAGCCACAGCCATGGAGTGGCCCAGGCAGGGAGTGCATGGGGGCGGGCACAGTTCTGCACAAGGACCCTGAGGCCTCTGCTCTCCCAGTCTTGGCATCCACTCTGGTTCTCCAGCTCACCCTTGAATACCTTATGTATTTCCTGTGCGGGGACAGCCACAGGGCTTCTCTGAGAGGGGGTGGCCTCCTCCTTGGCAATCTCACCCACCCAGAGATGAACCTGGTCTTTAGTTCCCTTTCCCTGGACTAATTCCTCCCGGAGCCATTAAGGCAGCACCTCCTGGGAAAAGAGATTGTTGAAGATCAGAGAGGCTGGAGCGTGGGGAAAGCAGGGCAGGGAAGGTGGTAGACTGTTCTTTAAGGAGCGAGGGCTTCTCTGCTGGCTGTATGCCCCTCAGCAAGATGCCAACATTTTTGAGTGTCGTTTTCCTGTCTGTACAATGGGGATTGAAATACCTGTCTTACAGGCCCTGAAGGTTAGAGTGCATGCATGCAGAGGGGCTAGATATTCTTCCTTTCCATCTGCCTGCTAACTGGGGGAGGAAGCAGAGTGAGGTAAAAGGAGAGAGAGAAGAGGCTGAGTGTTGGAGATCCATGAAGCCCGAAGCCCAAAGCCCGGCAGACATGAGGAGTGGGAGCTGGGGCTGTGCCTGCCCAGGGACCCTGCTAAGGGTTCCCTTTTGTGGTTTCTCTAGCCTGAGGCCATATATAGGGGTGCCGGTGGTGGTGATGATGCAGTAGCTGTCAGGAGCTTTTGCCTAGGACTGCAGTGGTAGAGACATGCAAATACAGAGTCTACTCTAAGCACTACTGAATTTAGTGCAGAAAAGATGGATTCTCTAGTTTTCATATTAAAATGTTACTCTGTTCCTAAACATATACAATTCTTGAACCCTGCATTAAGTATCTGATTCATCATCCTGTGCCACCCAGAGACAGAATATGCCTAAAGGTGTCCTTTGCTTAATATTAAAATAGAACTTCATACCAGCAAGTCAACTTAAGGAGATCTAAATTGAGGCTCAACAGTCAATGAAGCTATATTTGGTTCAAATGGAATTGCTGTTTTATTCTTGGTTATAAAAGAAAATCATACTCATAGAAAACTTGGAAGCTAAAGAAAAGCTAAAAGAGGAAAATTATCACTTAACCTAATCATAATTGTTTAATGTCATGTTCCTATTTTGGTGCTTATCTTTTCCATAGTTTGGAACCATATAAAATTTAAGCACAGATGATATCATATTACATATCAGTCCTACACTGCTTTTTTTCACTTGATGATATACCGGCTTTTTTTCTTATCCTTACTACTTTTTTTTAAAATAGTAATAGGTATCACAGTATATTTCGTTATCTTTACAATAGTTGTTCTTTCAATCACATATATCAAAATAAAATGAAATACAAAACATTATAGAACTTGTCAAAACAGAATATTGAATAGAGCAGTACCATTAATCAGAATAGAGCAAAACAGTAATAAAAATATTTGCCTTCAAAGAGATGTTAGAAGGAAATCCCCCTTATTTGCTGTGGTCATCCTCCCAGGAGATGCTCAAGATTTCTGGTTCCCATTTTCTAACGAGGGGGCACAAGTGAAAAGGGGTAGTGTTGGGCGCAGGTGCTCAACATACCATACCCCACCTGGGACTAAGGACCACGCCAGCTTCTGCAATGCACTACGTCCCTCTTTAAATTAGCCAACCTGTGCGCACTTCGTGCTCACTCCGTACTCTGTGGCAACTCCTGATTGGCCACAGCTGGATATAGTAGCCAGAGCCTGCGTCCCATTCCCGCCCTGCTTCCTTGTGGCAGCCTGTGATTGGTCACGGCCAAATATATAAACCAGAGCCCGCGTAAATAAACCAGCAGTTAACTGTCGCCCACAAGAGCGTCTCCTGTGTCATTGGGGAGCTGCGCCGGTCAACTGGTGGCCTGTACGGGGAGCGCTGAGACGAGCGCTGAGACCCTCTCTCCCGGAGCGCTGAGACCCTCTCTCTGACAGTACGGGGAACGAATCTCCGACGGAACAGAGACGTTAACAGGTAAAACCGTCAAGCACCGATAGCGGGGGCTACTCGGCGGGCAGGGGCTGACAGGTAAACTGCTCAATGTTGGTAGCGGGTGCTACGCAACAGGGCCGGATGGCGGGGGCTATTGGGCGGACGCGTCGCAAGGGTCAGGAACTCGTAAAGAGAGTTCTGGGGGCCGTAAAGAGGCCGGTTTTGGGGGCGCCGTAAAGGGGCGCGGGGACTAAGCTGTCCCTGTTTAAAACAAAAAAAACAAAACAAAACAAAAAAAAAGGAAAAAGAAAAAAATAAAAAGAAACTCTTGAAATTCCGGTTAACATGGGTAACACCGCTACTCAGCCACTGTCGGTCGCTTTGGGCGACTTACTGAGAGAAAAGGGATTACAAATGAAACGAGAACAAATTCAAAACTTCCTCGATCAGGTCGATAAGGTAGCACCTTGGTTTGGTCCCACGGGGTCCATTACCATCCCCAGCTGGGATAAATTAGGAAGAGATCTTGACTTTGCAGCAGAAAATGGCCTCCTGGAGCCAGGAGTCAGACCCCTTTGGGCAGTGGTGAGAAGCTGTCTCGCAGACGCCTCTTGTCGTGACCATGTAAGGGCTGGCGCCATGGCGCTTGGTTACCATCAGGCAGAATCCTCCCGCGAGCAATCTCGCGAGCCCAGTGCCGCAGGGGAGGTGACCCCACCCAACCCAGAAACAGAGGACTCCTCAGATAATGAGGGGGAGGAAGAAGAAGTATACAAAATGGCGGATGCAGACACCACCGAAAGAGGGGAAGTCACACACACGCAGTCGAGAGGGCCCTACTCTGAGGCCATAAATGAGCTGCAACGCATGATTTCTCAGAGTAAATGGGTCAATGAAAGCGAGTACGGGATCCCAGGGCCGCCCCGTATAAGACCTAGGGCTCTACCTCCTGACCTGCATCTTGCAGGGGGCCCAAGTCGAGCCCGCTGCGATTAAGGGCGCGCCAGCTCGGAGGCCCCAGGGATCCTTCTGCACCCCTATCTGGGCAAGGGTCCTCCAGTTTACCACCTGTGACCCCCTGGATGGATACTCCCAGGAGATATTATGGGGATTCTCCCTGGCCACCATAAACACCACAAATATGACTTTTCTAAATTGCTCCACCGCAACCTGTTATATGTTACAATGTTGGGATAACAGTACACTTTCAGCTGTTATGCAGGTACTCCAGTTCGTACCGATTCCAGTTATGGCGGACTCAGACGAGTTTCCTGTGATCCAGCTCGGGCCAACTCTCCAATTGGCTTTCATAAAGGAATGGGCAGGAACAGGGGCTCTGGCTACTATGACTACACTTGCCGCATTCGGCAGTCTACTTCTGGTCTGTCGTATTTGCAGACAAAGGAATAGGGACAAAGTATCAAACAAGCATTGCTGATCATGGAATCTGGTCAAAGCCCGGCAGCATGGCTCGCCATGCTGTGACGCAGGTGTGGAGCAAAGCATCGCAGGGGGTGTCGTCCTTGGCCAGGAGACACCCCGGTCTCCAAGTCGATGAGCACACGGGTTGGGCTCATAAAACAATACTCCCGCCCCCTCCAAAAGAGCACCAACGAGTAGTGAGGCACTGTCATGACTGCAGCGTGACACCTCACGAGGGGCACCGACCTCTGGAGACCCTGCGTCAGTTATAAAGAAAGGGGGAGATGTTGGGCACAGGCGCTCAACATACCATACCCGACCCGGGACTAAGGACCACGCCAGCTTCTGCAATGTGCTACGTCCCTCTTTAAAT